GGGGCCTGATTGTCATTGATAATGTTCTTTGGCATGGAAAAGTTGCTGACCCTCAGGTAAGCTAGTCTAATATCTTTATGTGGATGCTATCATAGTAACGTTTACTCTACCATTCATCCATCCAGGTGAATGATTCCAAGACCATCAGCCTAAGAAACTTCAACAGAAAAATTCTTGAAGACAAGCGCATCAGCACTAGTATGGTTGGTTCTAATTCCTTCACATTAGCTATATGAGTTATTTCAATTGATTTATTTTGACTTCTTTGCTTGTGTTCTCTGTTATTAGGAATCTAACTAAACCATATTAATTCAACAGGTGCCGATCGGCGATGGCATGACAATATGCCAGAAGAGAGCAGATATTTGAGCCAGAGTTAGGAATCTCCACACCGAACAGCTACTTCTCTGCAAAAGAAGAGGTATTCCTTGAATAGTTCTTGAACTGAGACTCTTAACTAAAGAAGAGCGAATTGAAGGAAGAAGCTTTCATTGTGGTCTATAATCCCAGTTGATCACTTGTGCTGTGTGTGTCACCGCCGAAGAAGCATGCCCCGTTGGATATTGGAGATTGTGATGCTGGCCTCGGCATTCTTGATATTATAATGACTGATATCTAAAGCATTCTTATATTGGGGGGATATGCATGTCTAAAGCTATTATATACAGAATTCGATAGGCATATTGAATAAATGATTCAAATTATCAATTATACTTCAATTTATTCATCAAATATATTATTTACAAATTGAAATTTCAACAGAGAGTTACCAATAATTTGGTTCAGTTGATTCTGCTGAAACATGAGATGGCACGTACATGTGACTGAAACAATTATATGCATGCTTGTCTAAGCATAAAGTAAGTATTTAATCTTGAATATTAATTTTAAAGGAATCATTACTCTAATGGAGGTCTTTTATTATGGCATGTCATGTACCTTGTGTTCTGCACATGAGTTTGTACACTTGGAGTTGCACTCTTGGACGTTGACACTTGGCGTCCAAGGAATACCTCTTTGTCATGCAAACTCGTGTGCACCCTTCCCACAAGACACTTGGCGTTCTCTTCACGTCTCTTTTCTCCCGTTTCCTCCTCTCCCCATTATTAGCCTTCTTACCTTTCCCAGTTTGTACACGTCCAAGAGTGCAACTCCGATCGAGAAACCTCATGGAGAAACAAGATCTGGACTTCGTCCTCGTCCCTCTTGGCCTCTTATCATTGGTAGCCTACCATCTATGGCTCCTCTACCGGATCAGCCGGCATCCCACCACCACTGTCATCGGCATCAACGCCATCAATCGCCGCATTTGGGTTCAAACGATGATGGAGGTCAGCACATCCCTATTTCACATCGCTTGTTGCTTCAATGTACATGGATCGATTGCTGCCGATCTTTCTGCAGGATCCTGCAAAGAACGGAGTGTTGGCAGTCCAGACTCTGCGGAACAACATAATGGCGTCGACGCTGTTGGCGTCGACGGCGATCATGCTCAGCTCGCTGATCGTCGTACTGATGACAAACGGCGGTAGCAGCAGCCGCCTCCGGGGCCGGGGCTTCGTGGTCGGCGACACGAGCGACCTGGGGCTCTCCATCAAGTTCTTCTCCATCCTGGTGTGCTTCCTGCTCGCCTTCCTCCTCAACGTGCAGTCGATCCGGTACTACAGCCACGCGGGGATCCTCGTCAACGTGCCCGTGAAGAGCCACCGGGCGGCGCCGGCGCTGGCGGCGGAGTTCGTGGCCAGGGCGTTGAACCGGGGGAGCTATTTCTGGTCGCTTGGGTTGAGAGCCTTCTACTTCTCCTTCCCGTTGTTCCTGTGGGTGTTCGGGCCCATTCCTATGGCGTCTTGCTGCTTCGTGCTGGTGGTCATGCTCTATTTCCTGGATGTGTATTCCGGGTGGGGCGAGGAGAGGGCGGAAGAAGAGATGGAGGGGTGGGTGGGGAGGGTGACCGTGCACGGGGATTGCTGAGGGGAAGATGGTGGCCCACCCAACCTGAATCAAGATCTGGGTTCAATTCCTCGTTGAATCATGTTGGTCGCTGGATTTGATGTGTCAGCAGCTGCCGTCGTAAAATGCTGCATAAATATTGGCTGAATTCATGGGTCGAATGTGCACACCATCGTGCAATAATAAGATTGGATTCGTGACATATTCACGGGTCGAATGTGCACTCCATCATGTAATAAGATGGGATTGCCTGACATATTATAGAGTATGGGCTTAACAACACGCCGTATTCGTACGCACGAGAGCGACTAGGCTTGAATGCTTGTGGTTTCAAGCGGCATTGTTTGCTAGGTACTTTGGGGATGTGGATAGGGCTAATTATAGATTTACAGTTAGTTAGAGATTTATATATTTAAAAATTTATATTTATAAAATAAAAATATTTAATTATATTTATTTTAATATTATTGATTTTACGTACATGAATAATTTAAAATCGATGGATAAAAATATAATTTTAATGATGGTGACATGAGTGATTATTGTGGTAGTGATCAGCGATAACAATATGATAATCGATTTTGTTGATGTCGATTTGAACATTAATGATGAGGAGGAAAATGAGATAGAGCGATAAGATATCTACATTGGCATTGAAGGAGAAAGAGGAGGCATGTGAGGTATTTGCATCATCGAGGGAAAAGAAAAAAGAGGTAGGTGAGGTAGAGAAGTGTAGCGTCGAAGAAGAAAGTTGAGGAAGGTGAGGTATATGCATCGACGTCGCACCACTCATCTCCTCTTTCACCTTTAATGTTGCTCTGCATCTGTGTCGACGTTGGAAGAGGAAGAGGAGGGAGGTGAGGCATTTGCGTTGGTGTCGCACTTCTTTGTCTCTTCTTCCTCCTTCGATATCACTCTGCATCTGCATCAACGTTAGATGAGGAAGAGGAGGTAAGTGAGGCATTTGTGTTGTCGACGATAAGGAGGGAAGAGGAAGAGGAGGCATGTGAGGCATCTGCGTCGGTGTCACACCACTCCGCCTCTTCTTCCTCTTTTGAGGTCGCTCTACATCTGCATCAGCGTCGGAGGAGGAAGAAGAGGTAGGTGAGATAGAGCAGTGTGGTGCTGAAGGAGGAAGAGGAGGCAAGGTAGTATAACACCGATGCAGATGTCTCACCTCTCTCCTCTTCTTCTTTTGGCACTACACCGCTCTGCCTCACTTGCCTCTTTTTCCTCCTCTGATACCAATGCATGTACAAAGCAATACCGAAGGAGGAAGAGGTGGTAGAGCGATAAGGTACCGATGCAAATGCCTCACCTCCCTCATCTTTCTCCTCCGACTCCAATGCATATGCCCGATCGCTCTTCCTCCTTATTGTTAATTTTGAGATTGACACCAATAAAGTCAACTATCATGTCATTCTCGTCGACTACCACCACAACAATCACTCACGGAGCTACCATTGAAATTATCGTTCATATACGTATTATATTTTTCGATGATAAAACCGACAACGTTAGGATAAATGAGATTAGATATTTCATTTTTATAATTATAATTTTTTCAATATAAATTTGATACTTAAAAAAAAAAAATCTAACTACATGAAATAATATATAATTAACCTAATGTGAATGTGAACATGCACAACGTGTGCAAAACGACTAAGTTATCTGATCAATGCAACGATGGGCTACAAGCTAAGAACAATTTCAACCTAAAATAGCTTGTTAGTTCATCTAGATTCATACAACTTCTCATGCTAAGTCGGTAAGCTCCTGTGCAATTTCTTGGATACCGCAAACATTATTAGAAATACTAATATCATCGAAAACATCTTGGATTATTGATTATTGACCTCCACCGCTACTGTTATCGGAAATATCTTGGATTGGCTTTGTTTGTTTGAGAAGTCTAAAAGTAATACATGTATTTAGGAGGGGAAATCTTTCGCTAAATTGGTTAGCAAATTATGCTAGAATTTATAGTGAATTAATTAACAAATTATGCTAGAATTTATAGGGTGGATGACTTTTGAAAGAAAGAGGATCCTTCATATTCTATTGTTTTGATTGCCTTTGATATTAGGATGAATGACTTTTGGACCAAAAAATTAGATTTTAGGGACAATGATTGTAATCACTTTTTATAGTAATTTAGTTTCTATCAAAAAAAAAAAAATTCTAAGGAAAGAAAATATATACTTACCATAGCCATAGTTATTACAACACACATGGATTTATACCTTGGCACATACGCATATAATTAATTATAAACTTATACAAAATAAAAAAAATTAATAATATCATCTATAAAGATCGATCAAATTAGTAAACTTGATAATTTATAATTTTAAAAGTTTTACCATTAACATGATTATAAGAACAGATTCTTCACTCTAAGAAACCTTCGATAAAATCGAACGATCGAGAAAAAAAATAAAATTATAGGATTATGTTTAGTGAGCACAACTTAGACAAACAATTTTAGGCCAAAAAAACCATCAATATTTTGATGCTTTGTGCTGAATGATAAAGATTCTTAAGGTAAATTGATTACTAAATCCGAAAAACCTATATTTCTTAGACATTCAACAACCTTTAAGGCTTGTAGAACTTACAATAAAAAGTAAATTCAATTATATAAAGATTAAGTATTAAATTCAAGACATGAATGAATTGGACACTCATGTCACATGCTTAAAAGATATGATTATCATTGAGCATACAACAATGATTAAATAAAAAAATTAAAATCTCATACGATATATTTTTAAAAATATTAATTAATTTAACCCAACAAAATCTTAATAGTATATCGGTTTCCATCTTATCATTTATGTTCATTTTAATTTACGTTTATGTCTTGTTATTAATTCTCATGATTGTATTATATATATAAGAATATTTTGAATATTTATTTTCAAAATATTTTTTAATTTTTCTCCATCAAGTCCTAATCACTATGATTTCTTATTATATATATATTTTTTGCAAGAATAAATAAATAATAAATAAATAAATAAACTGATAATTAAAATATTGGAAACCGATCGCCGAAACCGATCAATCATACCTCCCTGCCTTTGTGTAGTAATCGTTTCTGATCTTACAGAGACAGAGGAGAGAGGCGATCGAGATGGTGGAATCGAACGCACTCCTGGAGGAGGCGGCGCGGCTGGCGGAGGCGGCGCGGGAGCTCCAGGAAGCTGCCGCCATCCTCATCTCCAGGACCCGCAACGAGGAGCAGTCCCTGCGCCAGCGCGCTGTCGCCCTGGAGTCCGACCTCCGGAGGCTTCAATCGTCGCTCGATTCGACCGTCAGAAAGAAGGGTCAGAGCGCCACTGGCGGGGGCGTCGATCCCAAGATCGCAGAAAAGGTTGGGGTATTCCCTTCCCTTCCCTTCTCTCCGCTAGATCTCGATGTGGTTCCATTTGCTCCAGCCTCTCATTCGTTTCGTTGTGTTTTAGGTTGATGAAGAGTTATGCAGGGCGAGATGCGTCATCAATGATGGGGATGTTGCATCACTGCTTCTCAGCAAGACCCATGGTAATTTGTGGATGAATTTGGGATGACAAGATGCGGTTTTCAGGTTGTTGGATGAAAAAAAAGAAATTAGGGATTTACTTTTGTTTAATTCGTATATTCAGGTCGGTTCTTGAAGATGTTCCTTGGCCCTGTCAATGTACGAGCAACAAGGAAAGAAGTCCAGCTCAAAGTGAAGGAGGAGTACAATAGCTACAGGGTATGCCCCTATTTTGAGTTTCATGTGTTACGAAATTTGCCTACAGAGTTTTGTTACATAATCTCGTGGATGACCAGACTGTTCTGTAGGTTTGATCATTTTTATCGCTTTCTTTCCATGTTTACCCGAGCATCTTAAAAATGGAATTTGAAACATAAATATGATTCCCTCTGATGTCTTAATTGCGTCCTTATTACCGGTTGATTCCCTCTGATGTCTTAATCTGTGATTGTTCAGCTGAATTAAATCTTATACCCAAGGAAGAAACGTGAGAGGTCATGTTTTAAGATTTGGCTAAAACTCCTAGGAGAAAATTTGCGGCATCAACCATGAAAGATACAGAGCAAGTAGAAACATCTAGCGGGGCTGTACAGCGGGCAGGTCAGTTAGTAAATGCTATGAAATACGCACAAAAGAAAAATAATGTTAAGTTCTGAACGGAATAAAAATGTTATCTTCCTGTTGAATGAAAATAAGACTTTTTAATGCAATGCAACTTAGTCCATAATGTAGGAGAGAGATTCACCTAATGCTTATTAACAGTATAAATTAAATTTCTAAAACCTATATAGCTTAGGAATGTCACATTTTGCTTTTCAATACCAAACTCTTGCAAGATTGGTTTGTTTCCATGTGCATAAAAAGATAGCAAGTTAAATTGCTACTTCAGAACTTACAGATGATCTTTGTTGTCCCGTGAAAGTAGTTACTATGCTGGGGCGGGGGAGGGGAGTCCCCTAATAGAAGGTCTTTGTTGGTCTTTGTTGTCCCCTGAACTTACAGATGGTCACATGTGACAGCCTCCATCAACCTTGAACATGTCCGTAGAAGATGGGAACCTAATACATGATATAAGGTAAGCTAATACATGAAAAATTCCCATACGTGGTAGAGCTAATGGGAGGATGGGTATGATGTCGTGAGATCTTGATTTTTAAAACCTTGCTTTCGGAGACATTGGGCCCTCCATTTTCATAAAAAATTCTTTGAATTTGAGTCTTTAAGTTACCAAGTTCTAAGATTAAACACGAAGCCGATCTATATCCTGTGAACTTTTGCTGCCATGTGACATTTTTTAGTTTAATGCTCCAGGAGAATATGCTTTGAAAAATTACATAGTTATTGATGGTTTATTTTAATGTTCATAATTTCGGGTTAATGCTCTGTACGTACTAAGTTTTGGAAAATTCCTGATAAAAATAAAAAAATACCCAGAATAAGTCCTGTACTTCCCAGTACTGTGTGATACAGGCCTTGTACCGGACATACCGCCCAGTTTATCGTAGGCCATCTACCAATAGTTTGTCAGATTGCTAAATACAACCTGGGCCTAATCCTACTGGACCACATTGCAAACTTTGGTTTGATTATAAATAAGTCTACTGCTATAATGCCCCAGATCAAAATTTTACGGAAATCTGTTGCAATAATAAGTTTATGAACTACATAAAAGTTTGCTTCCTTATTATCAATTGTTTGATTTACTTAAAAGATATATGGATAAGAAAGATATGTTATACTAAGTATTTGATTGGCTATAATGCATGCACAAAAAAATGCACATATAAACTTTAATGTTCTTCATGCCAGGACAGAACAGCCTTTTTATTTCTTCTATTTCCGTCCACTCTTCTTCTTTTGAGATCTTGGGTTTGGGATGCGTGCCTTCCAGCATTGCCTGTCCAGTTATATCAGGTATAAAAATATTTTGACCACAATTTCAGTTGTCTACATTGGTGAGTATTTTTTGTAAATAAGTTATTCTGTGGTGCTATTTGTGCGTGATACTCTCAGGTTTGGCTGTTATACCTATACACAACTTTAGCTTTGCGGGAAAACATATTGAGAGTAAATGGAAGCGACATTCGTCCTTGGTAAGGAAAGTTCTCGTTTGTGCTGTTTATTCCTCCTATTATGCAGTATAGAAAAGCAGGCAGATTTAGCTTGGGATAATTATTTGCCAATATCTTCTGAAGTTGGAGCATTTCTTTGTTATCTTCATTTGTTAGCTTTTCAGCTTGCAATTCTTGTCAAGAAAAAAATGTTTATATTTTGATAAACTTATGGCATGTGCTGCCTTGACATGGCTATTCTTTTTGCATGACCCAAATTTCTGGTAGTTGTTCTCTTTTTCTAATTTCTTAAGATTTTAGCTTCTGATAGATTTGTACGTATTACTCATACAACTACCGTATTTGGCCCCCTTGCAACCTGGATGACCAAGCTGTGGATATTGCACCTCTTTAGGCCTCGTATTGCCAGGAGTGCTTGTTTGCCGTTTTAACTCATACAGCTACTCAACAACAACTAGTCAGAAATTTCTTTTTCATCTCTGTGAATACTTCTAATTTTGTTAATACAACGTGACAGACATAGACCAACATGCTTTCATGTTGACATAAGTGCACGGTCAGGAGAAAAGCAGTAAAACAATTAAAGAAGAATCACAATGAATAAAAAGGTTAGAAAATTTGAGATTTGGTTGTCTGTGGAAATGATTAAAAACATAAATAGAAAATGAGATTGGTTTCATTTTCAGGTTATGGCTAAGGTAAAACTTAGACTGAACCAAACCTTTGGCTTTGTCACCTATAAATCTGAAACTAAACTAGATCAAACTCAATGGAACATTCCCGTTCGTGGTCGATGATAATAATGTATGATTTAGATTTGAAATCATCAGCTGTGTTCCTTCTGATCTCCTTCCTTGCCTGTTGTCTTAATGAAATCAGTAGTCCATATACGGTCTCTTTTTCATATTTACACTCTGTAGGACTACATACAGTGGCTCCACAACCTTGAAAATATCGGTCACTGAATCCTAGAATCTAAAGGAAAGATTAGACTTTTCTATTTCTTTCCATCTGAAGAACTGACGACAGTGAGTTGGCCCATTTGGCGGAAGTGAACATTGCCCTTAGATCTTTTTCTGTTGAATTAACTTCAAGTCAATAAAGTTAGTGAGTGGAAACTGAGTGATGTTGGGCAGTAGGATCTCTCTATGTTTGAACTTTTACATCATGACATGCATTCATAAAGGTTATTGATGTATCAGCTGATGCTGTGTGCTCTTGCCACTGTCCTTTTAACCGTTGCTGTGCTATCAATGTGCTTTATCATTAAGTCAATACAATGGGCTGTGCAAAGTATCCAATATAAATGCTCCTTACGGCCCATCAATTGCTCACTTTCCTTCCTGAAGTTTACCCCTTTATCTGTTACCACCTGCATTGTATACTACAATCCAATCTCCTCCACGATTGGTCCATCAAGCCCTCTATGTAGTATGCATTGTGAATGTAGTTGTAAGCATCAATAGACTTATGAAATACTATACTTCTGTTATAAGACACCAGAAAATGAATGTTGTTCATCCTGGTAGGCCTGGACCTGTCATCATATATCAATGTAACATCATCGAGGTCCCATTGCTTCTATAATGACTTAATACAGTCTATGGTCTCTTGGATGTACTCATCAAGATAGTTGCCATGTATTTTTCTTGGGGTCAGATGTTATATGTTGGGACCAACCTTTTGGATAGTGGACATCATACTTTAATAGCACAAGCAGTTGAACCATTTGACAATTGCTTTTTTGATATCCTTCCTTTTCTCCATTGGCTCAAAAGAGACCCCAGTGGGTCTTCTGAGTTATACTTACCTCAAGTAGGCTCAGTCCTAGTAATGAGCTTAAATCGGGCGATAAGCTCTATTTCACAAGTGGACCCTTCGAAACTAGGTGGTCCGCATTTTAGTCCTTATGTGGACCAATATTTAATAGGCTATCACGGACTTAGCTGGTTTTGCCTAAATCATGCAGTAACTTTACGTGTCTGTCCGCAAAGGGTCTGCCTCACAAAAATCTCTTATGGTGCTCTAAAGACCTGCAAAAGAGAAGTTGAGTTAGAGGAATCATTTAACTCGGGATCCCACAAGTAGACATTTTAGCGAACATTTGATAAACAATGCAAATTACAAGCATAGACTTCGCAAGCTCTGAATAGTCGTACGACAAAGGGTCGAAGGAGGTCCGCCATGGTCAAAAGTCCCCATAAGTGTTCATCTGACACTATTGCAGAATAAGACAGCGAGTAAACCTGAACACTACCCCAAAGGCTCATCCAACCATGTGTCACCTGGGTAGCTCTAGGGTGTTGTGCTGGCTGACACTCTGCACCACTCTGTGAAGCTAGAAAACCCTAAAAATGACTGTCTGGATGACCTATTTTTGGACAGTTTTGCCTCTACGCAATAACTGCACACAACTTACGTTTATAGGACTAAAACGATCATAAAAGCCAACCAAAATAGGACTGTCAAGCCTACTGCATGTCCTCTGCATGCTGTGCAAAGTATGAACAAAATCAAAGGACACATACATACATATTCATTACGTCGAACACCTTGTGTACAGATTTGTCCGTGATAAGACGGTAGGTACCAATCTACTTGGTTTCCTGATCCTTGACATTTAGTTGAGATTTAAACCCATGTATAAAAGCATCATTCTTATACTGAATGTCAGAATTGGACTAGATTGAGTAGCACCCAAATCCAATCTTGATGCAAGTGTGGTTAAGTTTTGTTTTTCTCGATCTAGGTTCATCTAATCTAGGAAAACCTTGTGGAGCCTGACAATGGTTCTGCTTGGTCTCATAGTTTGAATTGGGTTGGTTGCTTGTTCGCAAAGCTTAAATGTTAGCTTAGCTAGAAAGAGCACACCAAACAAGTGGTAATGAAGAGTACTTTCGTAGATGTATTCACTATTGAAAGGTGTGTTGACCTTATCAATGTTTCCATATTTCTTTATATAGATGCTGATGTTTATTTGTTTCTGCATTTCAATAAAAAGTAATAACAACATGCCTGTAAGTTCATGTTTATGTACACATATAATGTTCTCTTCTCTTTATCTTCAATTAAGGCATGAGCACCTTAAGCATGCAGTAGTTCTTGTCAATAAAACATTTGCAATGCACTCCAAGCCAGAATTAGCTGGCATAAGGAATTTAACAGGTCCTTGAGGCTGCTTCGCTAATAGATATTAGATCTATGTATATGTATCTTTCGAAAACAGGTTTAGAGGGGCTTACTGATTTATGGATTGCAGATTTGTAGGAAGCAATTTTGAGAAGCAGATTATGAGCATATTTTGGGTTCATCTGTGAAAAACATTGTAGTCTTGCTCAGTGCCTCCTTGTTGTATCCCTTTATGTAAGCAGGATCAATTTGTTTGTAATTTAATGATAACCTTTGGGCATTTCTCTCTCTTTTTGTGCTTGTGTAGGTGGATCTGCCATCACTATTGCGCCATGTTGATGGCCCTTATTAGTCTCACATGGGAAATAAAGCGGCAACCTGATTGTGCTTACAAACAGGTATCAGCATTTGCTATTTCCAACTATCATGAAAAGTGTTTCTTAAGTCAACATGTGTGGTATTTTTGCAGAGAGGGGTGCAACTGTTCCTTATGTGGGCTATGATGCAAGGTGTTTCTATGCTTTTACAAAACAGATATCAGCGTCAAAGGCTGTATACTCGCATTGCATTGGGCAAGGTGCCATCTCATAGTCTCCTATTAAGTTCCCGATTTATATATTGACTTGCTTTATATACACACTTTGTTGAGTTCAGATACTTAAATTTGTAGATTTCCCTCGATAACCTTATCAAATGATGTTCTATAATCTGCACTAGTTACATAGATGATCAAGAGTGGGCTCATGATAAATCACTATAGTTAAATGAGCATCTTATGCCAGTTCCTTCTTATCAAGTCACTCAATTACTGATTAATAGGCAAGTTGCAAGGTGGGTTTTACTCTCCAAACTTGCATTTAAGTTCTAGTTAAAATATTTTCATAACCTGCCTATGTCTTACAGGCCAAGATTTTTATTTGGCTTGTGCTTATAAAGAAGGTGCACTTAAAGGAGGTTCTTCTATGAAGGATTGGATTAATGGTACATCCTTTAGCCCTGGTGGAGACAAACTTGAATTTAGTGACCATCTTCTTTGATACTCCTTGGCCAAAAAGCATCTAGTAACAAGGTTTAAATCTTGGTCTGATATTAGTTTCAACACCTTGTCGGACCGATACAATACCATTATATCGGGAGGTATATGAAAAAATAATTTAAAAGAAAATATTGAGTGATACCATACATATTTGTGATCTTGATCAACTGTTAAATATTTGTTAGTACGTACTGGTCCGACCGTTATTTGGAACCTTACCTGGGAGCTACTCTTTTGACCCTTTATTTTCAAACATCTACCCAGTTCACCAGCATGTGTCCTAAGTGGAGGAAGATTAAAATACCTACTTTTGGAGTTCAGATTATTTTTTGTGACTTGCTTGTGCATTTAAAAGGAAAGAAACTTGGGATTGTTCAAGGGAGTTTATCCTAGGTATATCCTTCAGTGTGTTGTTGAAGTTATTCTCCCTCCACCTTAAAAGTTATTCCACCTTCCAGAGGTGTTAGGGTTTGATGTTTTTATGGAGTATTTCTTGAGATTCTTATTGTAATATCCTATTTTCTTCCTTTTTTTTTTTTTTTCTTTCCTTCCCATTGTACCTTGTCGCCTAAGTGAAATAAGATAGCAACTTCTTCCTTATCCTCAAAGCTCATCTTTTGTATGTGACCCCATAAGCTGGCTCTGCATATGGGAACCGTGGGACGTTGCTGGAGACCTGGATAGCTAGCTGCAACATTTTTTTGGCATGTGACCCCGTAAGCTGGCTCTGCATATGGGAACCGTGGGACCTTACTGGAGACCTGGATAGCTAGCTGCAACATTTTTTCGGCAGGAAGGAGTATTTACAAAGCCACCATCAAATATAATGTTAAAGTTGGAGTGGCATTAGACTCGAACATAGATCTGCGCTCTAAAATTTCAAACTAACACCATCCAAAACATCCTTGTAAGCTGGCAATACTTTTATATGTAAAATGTGCATCCTGATGGAAGATCTTGAACAACAGGATGCTACACCTTGGCAGATCAAGTTGTTGCGAAAAAGTTTGGAACAAAGTCCTCTATCTTTTTATTGCATGTGAATTAGTACCATTAATTTAATGGAAAAGAGTTAACAAAAATTGATTTGCAAGATAGAATAGCTTTTGTAACCTTATCTTTTTACGCTGTGTTTTTTGAAGTATTATTCATGTATGTTCATCTTCCATGTCGGTCACATTTTAGCTTCCATCACAGGCAAAAAGAATGGATGTTGTGTGGGGAGAAACTGCTGGTGTTGAAGGCCAATTGTGGTTGTTATGCCCCATTCTCTTCATTTTGCAGGTAACACAAGTAGAAAACTCTATGACATTCCTAAAGTTGGCTTTTTGCATGCTGTTACAGCGTCTGGCAACATTTGTTGCTAGTTGTATCAATTATTTCTCCAGTGAAAGAAACAGAGTGAAAAGGATCTGAAAGTTAGATTTGTAAAATTGAATATAATAATTCCTTTATGCTATGTAGAAATTTTCTGTTCTCCTTTCTGTCACTTTATTTTAAAACAATGCAGTTTTGAGAAAATTCACCTTTCATATGAAGCAGTTAGAAATCACAAGTCGACTGGTAATTTGCATGGAAGATTTTGTTCGTTGTTAAAATCAAATGGTTTCTACTAATCCGAGATGTCTTCTCTTTTCTTTCACAAGCATAACTTTGACTCTTACTGATGGTTAATTTTGTCGTACAAACTTACTGGCCTCAGGGCTTTGAAGCATATGTTGGCTTATTACTACTTCGTACAGCTTTTGTTGGTGTTATTTGTGAGTGGCAGGCAAGTCATTGTATCAAATTTTACTTTGATTCTGATGTTCCTTTCCATTATTAAACAGACTAATTAATTTGCACGATTTAATTGCTGATTTAAGGTGTTTTCTAACTCTTGCAGGTTATCGCTTGTGGAATATTGCTGGTTTTGATGGCAATTGGTAACTTTGCAAACACCATGCAGACACTTATAGCAAAGTCGAGATTCAAAGCTAAGATGAAAAGAACAAGGAGCAAGTAGGATTTTGATCAATGTATCTTGACTCAGGATCCTTCACCAATTGATTCCAAATCATCGAAGGCATCGTGATGTGGATAATGATCAAGTTTACTACATTTGCTACTTCAAGCTTGGTCATGTTCTGAAATGCAATTCGTGTTCAAAGCAATGTTGTTTTGTACAGCTCCTACCAGGATGTCTGTTACTAGCAGTTGATCTAATCATCCATCATGAGGTTGAGTGTGGTTTTGCTATGTAGTTTACAATAGTTGTACCATTCTTTCCTTTTTTTTGGCGCATCACAATTAGATTAGCGTTTCTTAAGAAACCATATGCAGGGAACCAAGCTCAACTGCTCTTCTTTTTGTTTGTGGTTTATAATGAGTGTACGCCATATTACCCTTGCAGAATAAATGGTGAAAGTAACAAATGAAGTTGCCTTTTATTAGACTGTGCAGCTGCTGCTTGCAGCACAGCCTTTATTTCCTTTTCTGCCTGTCCGTGTATTCTTTGCCTGCCATTGCATACGTGTCTTCGTCTTATACATGCACCGATTTGGTTTTGCTAGTTGGCGGTAATCTCTCTTTCATGTGTCTGCATGAAAGCTTTTTTATTTTTTAGGGTTGATTACATATTAATTTTTATAATTAGATTTTCTTAACATTTCCAAATCTTTATAGTTATAGTTATAAATATAAAAACATCGTGGATATTTTTAATGTCGTCGGTTTTATTGATGAAAACATAAAAATAAATGATAAAAAGATATTTTTAATATTTTAATTGGTGGTGGAGGACAATGCCTATGATGGTGGATGGCAGCATCGTTGGGGGTCGTAGGTGATTATTGTGGATAAGGAGAGTGATGGTGAAAGGTGAGGGGATATTCCGTATCTGTATCGACATCGACGTAGATGTAGAGCGACATCGCTTTGCATTTGCATCGACGATCCTTTTGTCGCTTGACAAATGCATCGATGTTGACGTGGATGTAGAATGACGAAATGGTCACTCGAGTCGTTGTTGTAGATGAGAAGAGTGATGACAAAAGGTGAGGGCCGCTCTACATCTGCGTCGACACTAACAATTGTCAAGCAGCCCTCACCTCTCGTCATTTTGCATCTACGTCGCGATCGATGCAGTTGTCAAACGACGAAAAGGTCATCGATGCAGATGCCGAGCAGCTCTTTCATCACTTAGCAACTGTGTCGATATCGACACAAATGCAGAGCGACGAAAACGTCGCTCGACAACTATGTCAGCATTAACGCAGATGTAGAGCTACCTTCATCTCTCACCATCGCTCTCCTCATCTACAACGACCATCCCGAGCAACCCTTTTATCGTTTTGCATTTGTATCAACATCGATACAGTTGTCAAATGACGAAAGAGCTATCGACACAGATACAAAGTGGCTCTCACCTTTCTCCACCGCTCTCCTCATCCACAACAACCACCCGCGGTACCCAATGATGTCGCCGTTTGCCACCATCGACATCGTCCGTCACCACCAACTAGAACATTAAAATTATCTTTTTGCCATTTGTTTTCGTATTTTCAACAATAAAACTAACGACATTAGGATAATTGAAACTGTATGTTTGACTTTTATAACTATAGAAATTTTAATATAAAATTTTTAAGTCTAACAATCCAATTATAAAAGATTCTAACCCCGTGAGGGGGCCATTGACACTTGCAACTTATCCCTACCACTGTGCTAGACTTCAACCATTCCCGACAATGTGTTTCCACCAGCATGTCAGATGCCCTTGAGCTAACCTTAAGGCTGATGGTGGCCTAAATCCAACACTGTTAGGCTATGGGCAAATCTTTTGGTAGAGACTGCAGGTATCCCAGTGGATCTACTTCTAAAGTATCAAATGGCTCTCTCATGTTATTTTCCTGAAAATTAAATGATTTTAACAATTTAATACTTTTAATACTGACCTAGTAAAATGAATATAACCGTTTTCCAAGCTGCTTGCAGTCTTCCTTTTTCACATCTTCTGTAGTTGGATTGAATAACATGCTCGGGCTTCATCGCGGGGTATAGAGTATACTTCCTTGGGAAAGAGGATTACACAACCTGCAAAAAAAACAAAAAGAAGGATAAGACTTAGAAACAAACCAGTAGTGTCTATTCACATTACCTCAGGATGCTCAGGTCGAGGTTTTCCTTTCTTGATGGAAACCGAACTGAGGTCATGCGGGCTGCCACAACCCTTGAACATTCTCGAAAAATAACCATAGAGAATAGCCTCCTGAAGGGAAACAAAATTGAAGTATTACAATCTAATAGCCCTTGGAGTGGATTTATATCACTTTAGGGCACCGAGGTGACTGCTGTTTGTTGGTCAACTTCAATTATCTCATGCTCAAAAGATTGGTATAAAATAGATTGACAAAAGAATTTTATGTAAATCTGTCTTTCCTCCAAGGATGGAGAAATGTGTCCACCAAGAGTTAAATTACCATGCCAAAATGTATTTACAATCTTTACACGACCAATTGACGCAATGAAAACAAAGGAAAAGAATAGGATTGAAGCTTTCATACAAGAACTTCGTTAGATTCCTTTAACTCTTTCCAATCTTCTAAGAAGTAGTGGTCCAACGGATGTGATATCACCTCATAAAAGCAAGCAATGAAAATGTCATGAACTAGAAAAAAATTGAGTAATATTACGACAGAATTCTACCATCTTTTTTATTAACGTACCTGCACCCAGTGTAAAGACAATTATTTCTCGATCTTCATATGATGATATTGCAAGGGCTAATTTTTCGACCACATCATCCTAAGTGAAGCACATGAAACATTAAAACACAAGGGTTTCTGATAATTTTTGGAAGCTCAGTTGCTATGATATGAAGATTCGATCGGAAAACTCAATACAAAAACACATTGCATCCAAGATACTTTTTCAGTATACCAGTATTAGCTTCATCTTAAATGCTCATCTACTATTTTATTGAAAAGATGAATGGTTAGCTTACAACTTAAGTTGTTATTGTCACTGTGTAGACCGTTAGGCTGCTTAATAGTTAGGAATGATTCTTTTTACCTCACCGTTTCTTCATATTATATTCTGCGAATCATTTGCAGAATATGCGACTGATGATAACTTCTTTTCTGATAAGTGACAACAGAGACATGTATAATTATCTGATTGAACATATTAAAGAAAAAGACTCAAAATCATGCACCACGATTAAGGTGTTTGACTTAACCAACATAGTATCAGGTGGCTTGCGACTTTAGTTTGCTTGACTATATTAGCTCTCCTCTGCTGCTTTATCAATGCAATAAATTGAACATATAGATCTTATTTCAACTTGATGCAGAAGGGCTTAGACTGGATCAGCTAGTTGCTCCATGGATGCAACTTATGAACACAAGCCAGATTGATGCGAGTCATATTCACATGCATGATTTACTTCTTTTTATAATTTTTAATGATTTCTTAATTGTGTTAGTCCATTTAGTCGCATCTAACAAAGCCTTTTGAGTAACTAACTACCAAGTAGGAATCTAACTGTTTTAGCTGGCAAACTAGGCCGATAGTCATTTGACCTTTGGGAGCCAAGAGAGCCCTTATTTACCTCCAAGTGATAAAGATCTTGGAGTATCCTTATGCCATAAGTGTTATAGTATGTGATTGACAATTATACTATCCTCCCTTGACTACCATGCTCGTACCAACCAAATGTTTCTCTCCTCCAGGTAATTGTCGACATGTACTCCTACCAACCAAATTGTCCTCCCTGTTTCTTTTGTTGGGCAAGGATTATGAAGTTGCTATATGTTGACATGCGCCTGACAAGAGCTGCTGGCCTTAAATGTGGCTTTGTCTCTGCTGCAGGAGCATGCTAGTACCTACTATGCCCTTTAAGGGAGCAAATGTACTTTTAGATAAGTGGTAAGTGTATCCTGTCTCAAGTTAAACATTCTCTAATTGGATAACTTCCAAACTATTATGTGCTTAAAAAATTATTGCAAAAGTATTATTTTGATAGTGCTTCATAAATAGCACTTTCTAATCCGTAGTGTTTCAAGCCACAACACATGCCAGACCATAGCACCATGTATCATTTTGACGAGAAATAAAAACACAAGATTTGCTTGTTCATTAGACACCACAGTCCCCCACAAACCCATGTTGAACTGTTGCAAACCATTTGACCGAGGACAAGATCTATCTTTTGATAACCTAGCATGTAACTTACTAGTAGACTTCCCTCACTGCTGGAACTTAAATCCTTGCTATGCAGCCTAATTCCAAAGCATCAACCCATTTGTTGAGCTATTCTCGACAAAGCACTAGTGATAACGATTAATTAGTCAAAGTAAAGAATGATAATGACAAACATTATACACAGTAGACTTTACGAACAGGAAAGAAAGAGTACAACACATGATATTTTTGTGGACTATATTGTAGATTACCAGTTCATGTATGTATTCAGTTGATCTACCTCCTATCACATTTGCCAGGGCCTCTCCGTCGGTATTCCAAATATTTCTTTCTCTAGCACCGTAAACCTGGAGTTAATAGTTCATAGGTAACATATTGTATCTTGTTCACAAACCTTATCTGACTCTAATCAGAATTACCTTAGTTATGACAACATGATCAGCATCTTTGAAGGCTGTTGAATAATCGTCCATGAAAGCAGACAGACGGCTGAATCAATTATAGTCCATAACGGTTATGCTCGAATGTCCAAGTATTTAGTGACTATTAAAAGGAAGTCCCAAAAAATTCCACCAATTTAGAGAGAACCTGAATGTGTGTGGTTGAAAAACAACCCATATTGCTTGCTTTAGGAATTTTTCCCGAGCCGCTTGGAGGACAGCACGAACTTCCGTTGGATGATGAGCATAATCATCATATATATGGCATCCATTTATCTTACCAATCAACTCAAATCGTCGAGAAACACCTTTGAATTTACTCAAGTGGTTTCTCACAAAGCAGATTGCTTCATGGATGGAATTTTTACCATTGACCAACGTTACCATAGTAGCAATAACCTGAAAAACACAAAATGAACTAATAAGACACATACCAAGCAAGCTAAAAGATGATATTAGCAATTAACAGAATGTTGAGATGAAGAAAATATAATGTTTATCTGATGCTAAACTGATATGGGCCCCCTTGACCCATATATCTTATATGCACATATTATATGCATGACTCTCCACCCTCTATAAATGTTTGAGGAAATTATCCATAATTGCTTCCTAATTCCTTGACCTACACGATGCTCAAACCACTTTCCCATACGAAATTTCAACACTTGTTGTAGAAACTAATTTAAACATAACAAAAGATAAATTATTAAAAATGATAAATGCAGACCACTTATTCCTTGTAGATTTACATTTTGTACATTTAATACAAAAGTTTTCCAACATTTGCTATGCCCACATAGTTATCAACTTGTTTTAAATTTAAAAAATTAATGAATTGTTTATAAACAAAGTAACGAATTCCTTTTATATCTCATGAACTGAGTTAAATTTATGGTATTATTTAACTAAAAGATACGAGCAGACAGGTCACACTCACAGTTTCTTCTTCAGACCCTCCTTAAAACTTGATTTTGCCCCTTGGATAAATGATGAAGGATATTTATAGTAGATCTTGTCTCACCTCACAACACATCTTAGATCTTCCAAATGATATGGTCCCTTCTCCTGACTCTGACCATCCAGTAAGAATGAATTGCCTTGATGACCTTGTACCTTGCATGACTAGAATTGTGAAGCATGGGTCCACCGTGCTAGATTTTTTTGTCACTAAATGGCTTTTTCTTGGGGTCCTGGCCATATTCAAATTAGCTATCCAACTTCCCACTCCTAGGGTCTCAGTTCGCATACCCTCTAGAAGGATCGCCATACCTATATTTGTGTTATGCCCTTGCTCCATCATGCAAGATAACATCAAGTATTATAAAAGAGAACTATCAAGTTCTAGGCTAATCAAGGTATTGAAAATTATCCGCATCGGTCAATGTCAGTCCAATGCCCAACTGGTATGCAGACCATGCAAAACCCATCAGGACCTCTTACACTGATCACAATGGTCTTGTTGACTGGTATATGTACCACAATACCCAAACCCATTGCACCTTCAAACCGCAACTTGAAACATCCAGCAGCCCTCCTTCCTCATTTTTTTACTGTTGCTTCTCATTCTCCACTTGTTCTCTCTAGGATCTCATGGTTTTTTGCAATATCAACCTGGGATACAAGGATTATTGATATTTATCTCCAAATCAAGCTAAATCTAAGGCCTTCAACTAGTTTTTGTGCTTCTTTTGGTACACCCGAAGCTTTTGAAACTTGCATGCTGAACTGAAGCATAGTGGTTCCAATTTAAGCTATTTCATGTTTGGTTGTCAATTTGTCATGCCTGTTATATTCCTAGGCCTAAAAAATGCATCTATTGCTCAACTGAGGTCTGATCTCTGCATTTATAGCATAAATTTAATTGAATCTAGGACATATCCATCAAGATCTGCAGTTCAAGATAGTTTTGTGGAATTGAGGCCAGACAACTTGATTCTATGTAGGCTTGATGTGATCCGTCCTCGATCCAAGTAAATTTAGCTAGATCCACCAAGATCTAACCTAGACACAGAAAGATCCAGGCTGGATTGTTCAGATTCAGCATAGATCCACTATAGATCTAAACTAGATCTTGATGGATCTTACATAATAGATATAGGTAAAATTTCCACTATTTAAGTGTAATTTCTTATTCATGTATCTGATCTGCTTCCTAATGATTGTAGGAAAATGACACTGAACCAGCAAAACATTGATCCAACATGGCAACATGTCCATCACTCAGAGCATTGTCATTGTTGGCAATACAGCACGATGACAACATTGTTCATAGTAGAGGAACAAGCTGGCAGAAGTATTTGATTTTGATAAGGCTGCAGTCAGAAATGGACTTTCGGATGCATCAGAGATAAGGTCTCTCAAAAAATCAGGCACTTTCAAGACAAAGTTGGCTGTCCAAAATACCCTAAAAATAAAACGAAAACGCATGGGCATTTTACTCTTAAAAGCTGATAAGATTTCATAAAGAGGATGCACCCAGTGAATGAGGCTCCCACAGTGTGGGGGTCCGGGGGAAGCCTATATACACAGTCTTACCTCCTTCTAGAGAGAGGCTATTTCTGTGACCCAATCCCTAATCTCTTGGGTCACAAAGGAGGAGCCTTACCATTGTAACAAGAACCACCATCTAGCTTGATAAGATTTTATACAAGATCTTAAGTGGGGAGTTCTAGTGCACCTTCTGCTTTGTCATGGCTGATAGTGACCATATAAGTTTCGAACTTAGCAATACATGCACAGGCTTGTTCTATTTAACTTTCCTCCATGCTGAAAGTTCAAACCATGTGGCACATGCTTGAAGCTAAATCAATAAATTATCTAGTTTATGGTCCACTGTTTACCAGCAGTCTGGTACAAACAATTTAATGTCCATTTTTATGCTATAAAAATTGAAAAGCTTCAATTGAGGAGAAATACTTTAAGAATTCACTAATTTTTTACATTTCCGAACAAATATAGTTCAATATGATATTGTAAAGTTACAAATACTTGCAAATATTTTTTCTAAAATTATATGAGTCATATAGAGTGCTATTTAATCTTTCTAAAATGAAATGATCATCTCACCTTATTAAGAAAAAATAGGGTTCCATGTAAAAAAAGAAAAATAAATATAAATGATTATGCACTAACCGCTAAAGAATTCAGAACATTATAAACCCCTGGTAGTAGTAGGCTGATCCTTGCAATTTTGCATTTCTTGTAACACTGTAAAATGTAAATGAACGAATTTATTAAAATTAGTCAAAACTAATTATTCATAATGTTGAAGATTCAGCAGGAAGCCAGGAATATTAATACAGTAAACAAATAAAAAAAGAGTGTACCCAGTACACGAGGCTCCCGCCAATGCGGGGCCTGGGGAGGGTTAATGTAAATTTTCATAAAACAATATAGAAGATGGATACTATGACAATACAAGAATATTAATACAGTGAATAGATCCATAAAATAATTTCTGCTAAGACAATGTGTTTATATTTTATAGTTTTTGAAAAAGACTAGGAAAATCATGAAAATTTTCATAACTTATATATTCAGGAGATGGATACAATATCCTACCTCCAAGTAGGCATACCTTATATCACCTTGAGATGGCTAATGGTCCTATTAAAGTGATCAAATTAATAGATAATTGTCATTTATTTACATGTAGGTCGTGTTGTCATTAACTACATCTATTGCAAATTAATAGATGTGGGACTAATAGGGGTGTTATAATTTTTTCCACTCAAGGACTTGACGTCCTCGTCAAGGCTCAGCATAGCCCAAGTCAAACCCTAGCATGGTGCATGTAAGGCATAGTCTAATGGTGGCTTTAGGCCATGATGAATCCTCTGACTTCATCCACGGATAACCCTTTCCTACACGAGACCCTTCACCATGCCTAAATACTCGATCGACTCTAATACCAAATGTCATGACCCGAGCACTAATTAGCCCATTAACTTCATTTGACCTAAACCACCGATCAAAATGCTTAAATTGAAATTGATAACAATACACTCATCAAAACCTTATAAGTCAATCTTAATCTTACTCACTTCTGATGTGAGACTAATTGAGGTATTACATAAAGTGTCACACAATTGTAACTCCTATATATATCATGAACTTCCCATTGCAGTTCAGAATAATGATTATAAAAGTTTGCATAATCTTGGTCAGGTCTTATGTATTGTACTAGTAGGGAACAAAAGGCACAAGCCAGAATTGTAATGCAAATCCAAACATAATTGAATGAAGCAAAGCAAACCGTAACATGTTGTGTTATGATGAAAATTCTTGGAATACCTTTTATTAGCCCAGAAGTCAACCAAAACCCAGAGCCTAAGAGCCAACACAAGTTGGCCTTAACCCTTAGTCCCAGGCGTGAGAGTGGTGGGTCCCAACATTCAGCCAACAACCCTAGATCATATAGATGTCTTCGCCATCATGTTGACCAGCTTACACTAAACCTGACCCCCTTCGCCCGAGATGCGATGGTCGGGAAAGCTGACCCTCTCTTCGCCTACGATCATCACCAAGGCATGGAGGTCAGAAAACCCGACCCCCTCCTCCACTCGATCTGTGGTAGTCGACAAACTCGACCAGGTCGAGAGAGACATGGAGGTCAAGAAACCCAACCTCATTCGACCAAGGTGCGCCCCCGGGATACCCGGCCTCGTCCAACCAAGGTGCGCCCCCGGGATGTAATTTAGATGTGAACATATAAGTTCAGAAATCACATTTGGTAAAAACAATAAAGAGAGTCATATATATGTGAGCTATAATCATTTCTAAACATGGGAAAAAGAACATGTAGGATGGCTGATCATAAGGAGTATGTGGTCATGATTCTGGAATTGGAAAGACTCACCAACATATAATCTTGCCCACCAAGTAAATTTGGAGTAATAGAGGATGCAGACCAATCATTATCTGTAGAAAGTCCATAAGTTGTTACAGTGCATCCATGCCTAGACATTGCCGAAATTGCTGATGTACAATTGCTTGCAACAGCTTCCTGCCTCTGCTCAATAAGCAATGCACAAGCACCTGCACTAAACTCCATCTCAGTCAAGTTTTCATGATTGAAGTGCTATCATAAAATTACCTAGAGTAAGAGAAATAATAAAAATAAAAATTTAAGATTATTACAACATTATTACAAATTAAACTATTTGATTCACAATATAAATAACAGGGGGGAGCACACACCAATGAGTCATCATGCAATTGTATCAGCTAATTTTGCTTGTCTTTTTTGTTTCCTCCTCTTTTACCTCTTTTAACCCTCTGAATGAAACGATATTGAATAGGCATTTGCCCACATTTTGACCTTAAAAAGAAGTAACAAAAGGAAAATAAGAGACATAAATAGCCTTCTCAGAAATTTTCTGAAATATAGTTTGATTGGTACCTGTAATTCAGATCATGCAAGAGATAGCCTTCTTAACAAATTTGTGTTGCTAATTATGATAGCTGTAAATTTGTTGAGATGTAGAATCTTCAAGTCATTCCATCATGTGAATAAGTCTTAAAGCTGTATATAGTTGTGTTTTTGGGATGTCTAGTTAATTATTCTTTTATTGAGGTTCATATTCTCCAGGAATTTGTTGAGAACCTGCTACAGAAATAACTATTACTCTCTTTGGTGACCAATATTTAACTAAAGATCAATTGCATTGCTATTTCCAAAAGTGAAAGAACTTTGACTTAGAAAACAATAATTTGTGGCCACTATCTTATTCTTATGCAAGACGTAAGCCCTTTAATAAAAATATGCAGCAAAATCAGATCAACCTTCAAGTACTATTCTTCTAATGCAGTAATATGAGCTTTTTATACAGTCACCTCCTTAGCTTCTGAAGGTGGTATTGATAGTATGCACTGTGCAGTCCATTGTGAAAAATTTTAGGGTCTTAATGGAGCATAGATTTGATGTAAATGCATCATTGTTAGTAATAAATCTACCTATCCCCACAGAATATGAGGTGTCCACCAGCCTTGACTTGCTTAACAAATTTCTTGAATGACTTTAACACAGCCTCCTGATCATGTGAAATCTTACATTAGAAATAAAGTTAAAATCCAAATGTTAATATCATATAATGAAACATTTGAGAAGATTAAACCTCATCCTGGAAGATGTCAACATGGTCCAATTCTACATTAGTCACCACAGCAATATCAGGTGATAGTCCAAGAAAACAGTTATCGTACTCATCAGCCTACATATCGAGGTAATGCATAATCAGCATTCACTTTCATATTGTAGCACCGACGAAGTTGAAAGCAAAAGTCTTTGTCATTCTACAAAGTCAGCAATGGAGTAACCTCTAGCACAAAGTTTGGACCTTTCCCTGGAATAATACTTCCTGAAAACTGAACAATTCCAGTTTGGTTGGAAGGAAAAAAAACATGTCAGTAAATATTATAGATAAAAGCTTCTATTATCTAATAGCAAGAATCAAACAATTAAAATCTGTTCTCCATCCCTAACACAACAAACTGGTTATTGCATGATTTGTTTTCATATGCAAGAACCATTATCAATGATGCACTCAAGGTGTGTAATGTAAGGTATGAACCCAGTGAAGGTCTTAATCAAGCCACAGTAATTAGCTCATATCATGTTGACCAATTACTATAAAAAATCCAATACAATAACCTTCACAAGAAAGTAGCATGGTGAAAGACCACTTCCAGCTTAGCAGTGAAGATATTGGTCCTTCTGAGTGATTTTTCATCATCTTCCAGCTTAACAGTACAAATGAAGAAAAAAATTCAACCAGGAAGAAAAATGAAACTCTTAACTACCTGATAAGATTCACAAGCCAGATAGCGAAGAAAAGATAGTGCAAAAAGCTAAAAACAATTACCTACACAATGATGTCATTTAAAGTCAGAGTCAAGTGTTTAAAAGCTCATCGAATACTGGATCAACCATATTAGGTTTTATTTATAACATTGACACTGGTCTAACAAAGAGAGAAACTAGCTAACAACATTTAGCAAAGAAAACTCATTTCCAAGTCTGTTTCATTACTATATTGGAGAAGGATTGCTAACAAAGCTTTTCTAGGTTAACAGGAATGTCCAACAACAAAGCTCATGACAATTTATGACATTAAGATTGAAAGCAAGAATATTTTGGTCATAAAACAAAACCAGAAAAAGGATATTGGATATTTTCAAAAGAAAATAGAATCTTCACAGACAAAAAGCACAAGCATGAGACATCAAAACAATAACTAGATATATTGTGCCAATATTTAGAGTCAGCCACTTGGATGTTATGCCACTTTTGAGCTCTGCGTAGTGCAACATCATAAATGAAACTAAATGTAGTCAAATCCCTGTCATTCGGATCTTATGCCAATGTTAAGCTCTGGTTAACATCACAATCAAACTAAAGATGGACAAATCTCTTTTATAGTTCCCAATAAAGCTTTCTGAAGTCTCTCCCTCCCTCCCTCTCTCCTTGCACCACTAACAAGGACCTCTATAGGTTTCTTTTGAGCACGTTCATACCATCTAAAATGGTTTTTCCTCATTTTTTTTATGAGATCGACACCAAATTTATGAATGTAAGCATTCTCTATTCTATTATTTCCAAGGAACTCACACAACCATCTTAGGGTCTCCATCTCAGCCATACCAACTTTTTGGTATATGTTCTTTCCTAGTGGTCCAACATTCCATTTTATAAAGCATGAACGTAAATATTTTTTAATCTATTATTTCAAATGAATCTTAAGGTCTCCATCTCAGCAATACCAACTTCTGGTATATGTTCTTCCTAATTGGCCAACATTCCATTTTATAAAGCGTGGAAGACTAACAAGTCTCATATAGGCCGTGGTGGTCGCAAATTCTGATGCATCCCTGCCAATATTAACCATCTAGCTTTAACTATAAAAATAATGTCTTTTTCAATTTTTCAGATTCTCATATTGCATCAAATTATGTCATAATATCAACCATATTAATCAATTATCTATGAATCATTAGAAAAAGAATATTGCTTTGAAGTTTTCATAATATTAACCATGCACTGGCAGGAGCCTCCTGCATGGGGTCACTCTTTTCTCTTTAGCTGAAGACTAGAGTACTGTTGATATCATTGGCATACTAAGGTAATTCAATTAAAGATATTGACAGAACAGAGGCAAACAAACAATCACAGGAAAATTTCATACTTCTATTAATCCATCAAAACACTTTTGGTTGACACAGCTTACTTGTGGCACATTTGCTCCTATAACTGCAACAAGATTGTCCCCCATGGCATGCATGACATATGAAAGCATTGCTGCAGTGGTGCTTTTTCCTACAACCAGTGAATTAGTCCCAAAAGTTAAAATGACAACCGACTTGGAAGTACTAAGAATTCTTACTGACAAATAGATATATGACAGTAAAGGAATGAATGCTTAACAGCATAACCCTTTTAGGTAGAAAAGAAAAGCTAAAAGCAAAAGTGCAGTTTTACATTCCAAAAAAGCTATTTTATTTGCTACATCTTTTTAGTTTCTTAGCTTTTTGTGCGCATTTACCAAAATTTTTAGATTTAGACACTTTATGTGGATATAAAGTGTTGTGCAATATTAAGATAACTTAACTATGTTAAGTTAATCATGAGATTACAAGATACCACAGGGAAGATTTAATTATGAGAATTGACCGCCAAATCCAATTAGTTGCAGACCAAATTTCAGATTCAATAGTTGGTCCCATTATGTGCCTTGTAATAGTTTTGTTGAGTAACAAACCAATTACTTCTATTGTGGATTTAGTGAGAAGACAATTAATTTTGCCACTAAATATGATGAGATTCCAATTGAACAATCATGACCCACCCCATGAGAACCATGGCCCATTAATTTGGATAGAAACAGACCATAAATTACTTGACACAAAATGCAAAGCAAACCCCTAAGATGTTATATGCCAATCTACTATAATGTCATTATTAGCATTTATTCCGCTGCAACTATATTGGTTGGGTTAGAGGAATGACAAGGCTAAAGCAGCATTTGACTGATGGATATTCTATGATGGCCCAAATGCAAAATTATCTCACAACATATCAGACAGATTTCAGAACATATCTATAAGCCAAACAAACCCTCAAGAAGATTCAACATGAACAAAGGAAAGGCTTTTAGATGTACAAGCAAGAATAAAGCGTAGACATGCCTGTGGTCTAATCCCCAAGGCCAGTATGAGCATGGAGCATGGTAGTGGCAATGCCAGTGATCATAGAATTGGACCTGTTGATGCCCATTAGTTTAGGAGTGTCAGTATGAGGGATGCTAGTTGCAACGATGCAGCTAGTGATGCTCTTGAACTAGGCAAGAGTGTATAAATGAGGTCAACAACCCTATTCCCAGCCCGAGTAAGGAGCATTTGGTTCTTTGGTGCAAGAGGCCAACACCAAATGTGACAGATATTGACCCCATGGCATTCCCTCTCAAAGTGTGAAACAGACAAGGGTCAATAATCACTATGAAGTACGAAGAGGGATATTGACTAGGCAATCACTAAGTAGTTCATTTTTTGCACATCCCTCACTTAGTTTGGGACACTCGTTTCAATTTCATAGTGTCTACCATGATACCATCCAAAAGAACTATCCCAAGATAAAGTTTCATACTCTATAAGAGTTTGCAAGGAAGCATCTTGATGAGGAGGTCAAGGATATCTGCAGATGAACAAAACCATCTAAGTAGTTGAGCTGTCTCTCAGCTGAGGGAAATCTCATTTGGCTAACATTGTAGTTGTCATGGACCCTAAGTACATAGTCATGCAGACTGTCGATATGGAAGTCCGCCAATCAACTACGTCTACCATATGATGCATACTACGAGGATCTCAGGAAGGCACTCTGTGACAATTATGAACCCTTTATTCTTAGCAATGATAAGAGATGTGATACTTAAATGTCAAAGGATCTTCATATGGAGGTAAAATTATGTTTAATTTCATTTTTATAAAGTAAAAAAAAGAAAATAGTGATCAAACATTCTAATGTTATAAGTTAATATGTAAATCTAGCATCTTTGTATCAGTACAACATATCTCAACATCCCAGTGGATAACCTATATTATGTTTTTATTCTCTTCGAAACAGGTTTTACATGATCCAAGTTCCCAAGGATAGTGTGTCTTTCATGAGCCAACAGATAGGTCCCAAATCATTCAAGATATCTTGTCTTCAAAAAGAATAATAAATATCTAAATTACTATTTGAGGAGGCATCAGAGATAGGGTAATATAGAATGAGACTGTGAAAATAAGGAACTGGTTCAGAAATTGTTTCACCATGGGTTCCGCTAATAGCAATAAGATTGTATTTCTCTGTAATTCTTCTCAACCAATGATCCCGCTTATATCTGAACAAGGGAAAAGTAATTAGTTATATTAATGATAGAAAAGAACAGGTGAATCATATCTGACAAATATCTATGCTTCATAGATCATAGCGTATCAATGATCTTAAGCCCTTTCGGTTCAGTTTGTAACAAACTAAAATGCCACCATCTTTTTGTAAGTATAATTTGTACACACAAAATAGAAAATCAATCATTTTACTAGAGAATTAATTTTTTTTAAAATAGAGAATCAAATTGCTTTATAACAAAATACAACCACTGATTACAAATCATTACCAACACAAAGAAACAATTAGTTGGACTAGACAATGCCACATTGTAAATTAAATACATACATTGGAACTCCAACTGACATAGCATGTGCAATCTCCTCATTATCTGCAGGTATAGCACTTGAAATAACAATTGCATTAGGCAGACTTAATCCATCGTTCCTTTCAATATTTGACATGGAGTGTCCGATAAAAAGTCTTGCTCCAGAATTATGCAAATTATCCATATAGCTACTCCACATAATGTCTGAGCCACTAACCTCAAAACCCTGGAACAAATAAAGAAAATGAGAACTCAGGTTTTCAGGTTCTTCAGTTCAAGATACACAGAAAGGAACTCCACATATTAAAGGTTGCATACTAAATGTGCATCAACATGGAAATCTTGTATTTATCCTATGCTACTTATAAGTATGATGACTAGAACATCTTTTCGAACTACTTAGATAAGTTACATGGATGTTTTGTCACCATTGAGCTCTATAAATGACAATGTCATTCAATAATTATAGGGCAATAGCTTCCTTTTTATTGTAGCAAACCTAGTCTTCTTTGACCCTCTTCTACCTCTGGTAGCATTTATAAAATAATTGTCTCACCTCATCTTGCCAGTGAATTTATAAATCTGCTTTAAATAACTTCAGGCATCCTGACAAAACTTTCCCTGGCTCCTTAAATTTAATTCGTAAGATGGCAAACTTTTGATGAATAATGCCTTTTTATTCTTTTCTAGGAATACAAAGCATACATCTAAACTTCCTCATCTATAGAACTACATCTTCATTGGGAGATATTGATCAATCACCCAGATATTTCTCTATATTTTGATGAATAATACCTTTTTTATCTTTTCTAGCAATACCAAGCATACATCTAAACTTCCTCATCTACAAACTGCATCTTCATTGAGAAACATTGATCAATCACACAGATAATTCTCTATATTATTAAAGATCTCACTTTTACTCTATACCTTTTCGACTCTTCAATAAAAAAATCAATTTATGCAAAATTTTCACTTCTATAAGTTAGTTATCCATTATTTCAACCAAGGTTTTAAATGTCAGTCTGGTACGACACTGGTCGTTAGGCGGACCGGTTCAATACTGACAGGACTACAACAGATGGTCAGACCAAAAATACAGGGAACTAGACGATTGACAGGTCTACTCCACTTATTAGATCAGTTTTGTCAAAAAAAGGGAATGAACTGGTCAATCCACTCTTTTTTTATATATATAACCCGACCAGAAAAACAAAATCAGTAGGGTTTTGTAATTTTGTTAATATAGTCAAGATTACCTATATACCCTTCCTTAAACATTTCTTATTATTTGTTCTAGAGGGTATTTTCATTAATTTCAAAATAAGGTTAAGGGGAGAAAGAAAGCATATTTCATCATCCAATCTCTCATCTGCTTCTATCTCATTTCTCACGGGTCCCTTCGCACCGCCTCATCTCCTTCCAACCACCTAGATACCCTCATTATTTCTTAGTCTAGTCAAGATTACCTAGATACCCTCCACTTAAATCTTTCTTATTATTTGTTCTGAAGGGTATCTTCATTAATTTAAAAATAAGGTTAAGGGGAGAAAGAAAGCATGTCTTCTCATCCGATCACTCATCTCCTTCTGCCTACTTTCCAGTCAGCCCCTCCGCTCCACCTCCTCATCTCCCTCCGATCATCCTTCTCTCTCCATCCCTCCTCTCCCGTATCCTTCACTCTCCGACTCCTCTCGTTCTGGCCACCACCCCTCTCCCGTGTCCAGCATCGACACATTTTGCAGAATAGTTAACTTCAATATAAGCATCGCCAACCAATACAAGAAAGACGGAGAGAGGACAAACACAGATAACATCAAGAGAAGGGTTGATTTTACTTGTTTGAGAGCAAGCATTGCAAGTGCCGATAAGCCGGCGCCGCCAACACCAACGAAATGAATCCACTCCTGCTTATCATCCTGCCCCTCGTCTTTGCTACCAAATGCCGCCAAATCCGTACCCCGTCTCGGCACCGAACTCCATTGACGAGCTCGAAGGCCCACTCGCCCTCCAATACGGGAAGACAGGCCGAGACATAGGCTCCGCTCGCGCAGACCCCTCTCTGGCCAACATATTAGAGGCAGTACCGGCGAGGTGATCCACGGAATGCGTAGGTTTTGCCGCATCAAGGTGAAGAAAAGAAGCGCGGATATGCACGTTCGGCTCGAGCAGCAAGAACTAGGGAAATATGACTGAGGTTTACGGAGAGTAGCTGCACGATGACCCACGGGTCAGCCCGACCGAAAAGGCCCGATTCGGCCTCTTATCTCCATTTAAGATTCGGCCTCTTATTTTAACACTGAGTTATTGCTGTTGCAACTCCCATCGCATTTCATGTGGGGCTATCGAAGATCGTGATCTCTCCTACCTAATGCCAGCTCGTTAGTCTGGTTAACTTGCATTTACCAAGCTCAAATCCTTACTGTCCTCATATGATTAACATCACTTGGAGCAAGACCCTGATGGGCCAAGTCCTAAGCATGGGAATCGATGGTTTCTCCAACCAGTGCCTCTGCAAGGTGGAAATCAAGCCGTGGCTTTTCTCCAAGAGGAATGGTTCCAAGAGCGTGGAGGTGGAGAATAACAAGATACACGTATTCTAGGACCTCTCTGCTGCCAAGTTCGGACCAGGGCCTGAGCCACTCGAAGGTTTCTTTGTTGCTGTGATCTCTGATCTCAAGATGGTCCTCCTGCTTGGCGATCTAACCAAAGAAGCCTATCAGAGAACAAATGCAAGACCTCCTCCTTCAAATGCGGTGTTCATTGCCAGAAAGGAGCACATACATGGCAAGAAGGTCTATTCAATGAAAGCTCGATTCTGTGACAATGGGCACTCCCATGATGTTGCGATAGAGTTTGAAACAGCAGGGCTGAATGAACCATGCCTTGAAATCCACATCAATAAGAAAAGGGTAATGCAGATCAAGAGACTCGCTTGGAAATTTCGTGGAAATCAGATAATTTTGGTCGACGGACTTCCAGTAGAGGTATTTTGGGATGTTTATAGTTGCCTTTTTGGGCCACCTATAGGGAATGCTGTCTTCATGTTTCACACCTGCCTCTCGGGTGAGAAGATGTTACCTTTATCTGCACCACAGGCTCTTGGGGAATCTCAATCGCAAGAGACGACTGGTTTTTCTTTGGGTAATTTGTTCTTGCCAATGTGAGTAAAAGCCCATTCACTTTGCTTTGTTTTGATAGATGATAAGATTCTGAAACATCAGTAGGCTGCTCTCTGTTTTTCTTTATTCTCTTTTAAGATAAACCTCTCATGTTGAATAATAAAGTTTAGTATGGAGGAATATAATTGTCTTATATACATTGAAAATTATACCAAGACACCAATATTTCGATGTTGATATGAGTAGACGGCAATTTGTTTTGTAAATGGACCCCTCATTGAGTGTTTGCTAAGAATTCACTGCTATGTGGTTGTCTTTTACCATGTTTAACTTCTGCATTGTATCAATCTTATGAAAAATCGAACAGTTATTTATCGTTCTTTAAATTAGGGTGATTTACCCATAAAACTCTTTTCTTTTTTATTTGTTATTTGGACGCATCCTTTTTTCAATAATTTACTTGGAGAGACTTTTTGTTTTTGTAAATGCTTTGAATCAGCTCACACTCTTGATGTCTTCTCTATCTTTGACCACATGTATCTCTTCCTCTCATCTATTGATGTTGTTAGCCTCATTTGTCGCCTCCTCTTTCTTCCTCCGCTACTGTCTGTTTTCCTACATCGACTTCTCTCTCAAGGATAACCCTCTCATCACCTCCAATTTTTAACAAATCAAACATCCTTACTGTCAAATATGGGTGCTCATACCCTTGGAATCTAGATTGCAGAAAATCTTCCCCTATTTGGAGGGGAATCTATCAAATTATTTAGCAAACCAAACAGGGCCTAAGGATCCTTGGCTCTCCAACATTCTTCTAAACAAATGGCCAACTTTCATCCATTGTTCGGATGCTGCTAATCTCCTCTATGTCAAATATTTGATAGCTAATGAGAACTGAAACTTATAGATGCTGCATTATTTATTTCATCCATCTCTTGTGGGTATGATCATACGTATACACTTTGCTCTCGAGTCTCCACACCCTAAAGGTTGACGATCTTCAAAAATATTTATAGATTCTTGAGGGATAGGTAGGCAGACCATGGAAAGAAGTAAAAAAGTTGAAAGACTATTTGGGGTCAAAAAGTTCTTAGAATCAAAATATTCCTTTGAAAACTTCCTATGGGCAGACTTACATGTTTGATTAGCTGATCAATGGATGGTTGAAAGAGGGGGAAGAGCAGGGAAACATGACTCTTCTATTATAGTCTCCGTTGTTACTTCCCTTTGGTTCATATGCAAGAACCAAAATGAAACCAAGCTCATCGATGCCACTTCTTTTCTATTTGATTCCAAGTCATGTCTTCCCTCATAATCAAACCCAACTGCCGGAGGACACTTCTTCTCCACCCCTTTTTGCAAACGAACAAGGAAATGACTCACGTTTTGCTATACACTGTGACAGTTCATTTGCAACTGTATGACCAATGTAGGCATCGAATGACAAATTGTGTTTGAAGACTCCAATGTCCACTGAGCAACCTGCTCTCTGCATGCTGAAATCAGGGCCATTCACGATAGGCTATGAAACGCCTCCCAGCTCAACTTGTTCGTTATCATGATTGCCTTGAAGCTATTCGTATCTGTAATAAAACTATGCCTGTTCCTTGATATCCGAGAAACATTTGTTTTCATATTTTTAATGTGTCTGTCAAGATTAGAGTTTTGTATTTTGAGCATGTAAACAAGCAACTAAACACTATTGCCCACAACCTTTACGAGTGTTATGCATTAATTAACAAGCTAATTATATATTATCTCATATAATTAGTTATTTTTAGCACATCAATTTCTATATTTTTAAAATTATATTAAGATTATTATTTATAAAAATAAAATATTTAATCTCATTTTTTTTTCGATTCTATTGATAGAAATACTGTATGTGCTCAATAATACCATGAAATGAGATAGAATCATCACTTAGTGATAAATCCTGTGATATCTATCAATAGAGTCGATGAGGTGAGGAAAAATAAAACTAAATATTTTACTTTTATAAGTATATAAATATTAATATAAATTTAAAAATATTAAAATATTAAAATAATTTATTATATATAAATATATAATTAGTCCTTAATTAATAGATAATCATTGTTTATATATATATATAAAACAGACGTATACGAACAAAACCTACGCATGGTATAGGGAGGAGGTACGAACCGGTCGAATGGGCTACATGTGGTAAGCTTCTAATACATATAACGCCTTATAAAGTTTGGATTTGGGTTATCTCCAAACGTCTCCCCCTCTTCGGTCTCTTCCCGTTCTCAACTTTATCCCTTTCCCGCTCCCCTTCGGATGGCGCTCGCTCTCACCCGTTCCTTCGTCGCTCCGCCCCTCCCCAGCGGAGTTCGTTCCCCTCCCCCGCGCCACCGGACACGAGCACGAGGCCTTAGGTATTCCCGCAAGTCATCTCTCCGCCGTCGATTGCTCCCATCTCTCACAAGAACTTGCGTCTCGGCTACGATGGTCTCGTCTTCAGCTTCCCGTCCTCAATCGGAGCCTCCAGAAACCCTAGGCAAGCCTTCCGTTCTCACCTTCCAGCAGGCCATTCAGCGTCTTCAGGTTTGCAGCCACCCTCCTCTGAGATTCTCTCTTCTTGTCTAACGCTTGAATCTCGAAGATGTTAAGAGTACATATGTGTCTAATTGCGGTAATTGATCTTCCTAGAAGCAATGCATCAACAATTTGAATTCCGATACCAAGATGAGAGCGAGTGTTTTGCTGCCCATCGTCCCGTAATTCCATGTGACACCATACGGGTACAACGAGTCTTGTTAAGTTTTGGACTGTGTTATCTCTCACGGCTATCATGATCAAGCTTCCCTGTCTACCATTGTTCTTGTTACTTTTCTGTTTGCGATAGGCTAACAAGTGATACCCACTGAGGACTGCTACTGATTCCCAATCTTGTTGATTGGTCTGGTCCAATTCTATTGACAAGCTTATGTAGGCGTTACGTGGATGTTTTTGTTTGACCTACCATCAGTGTCTGCATCGACATCTTAGCCACTGCTAATGATTTGAAAATGTGACATTCCAGTTATGAGATTGTAAAATTCTACTTGGTCATCTCAAGTATAGGTAGCATTTAAACAATTATTAGGAATGTAGCAAACAAATTTCTTTATAGGCCCTTACTAGATCCTTTAGTACATCTTTTTGACAAATTATTTTTTTCAGAACAGGTATTGTAAACAACAGTCTTGGTCGTACTTCAATCGTCGTTACCCTGACAATATATGCCATTGGTGTCAAGAGATGCTTTGGCGATTGCCTAGGTGCTTAGGCAGGGCCAACACTCCCACTTCCTCTTTCCTCCCTCTTCTTCTTCACTTCTCTCCTCTTATTCCCTCTACCCTCTTTGCTCTCTTTCTTGTCCACTCCTCTCTTAGCCTGCAACTATTGTTGCTGCTCAACTATTGTCGCAAGAAAGGTCCCTTTTTAGGTTTTTGTTTATTGATTCAAATATGAAAAAGTTAGAAGCTTTAAGAAGCCTTATGATGAAAAGATTTGTCATAGAAGCCCGAGGAATGAGCAAAACACATTAAATGATCGCCCTTGGTTGGTTTGGTGGGTCCTATTGGGATCTGAGTTGGATTTAATCCACTCCAAAGCAGTGTACATTAGTCAGTACAAATAGAACACGTATACCTTCCACTTGGCCCTAGCAATGCACACTATTAAACAAAGGCTTGCATTGATAGCTGGTTTCATTTTGCTGAATCAAATGGATGCTATTGCCCACAGGAGCGACATAGTAGCAATAGTGCTAGTGCTTGGCAGCGGATATGGTCATTTGTATTACTGCGAGAGCTTCATCTCCTATGTGTTGGAGCACCATTTTAAGCCCCGACCATATGTTTATGAACCCTTGTCAGGTATTGCTTATCTTATCAACATGTAGCATTGTGTCTACCAACAGCATTGTTTCTGAATCAAATGAGTGCTATTAAGGGCTACATAGTAATAATACCACTAGGGCTCAACAACAGACATGGTCATTCATGTCGAGGTTTGCAATCTCATATATTGGTTAGGGCTCAGACTATTGTATCAGTTTGTGCCAGTGTACCAAGTGTCAATATGTCGACATGTACAAATGTTCAAAAAAATACCAAAAAAAATTGGAAAAAATAGAAACAAGAAATTGCACATATCGGCTATCGAGCCTGTCTATCACCCTGCATGGATGTTACTGTTCTTGTGCTAGATGGTACATGCCTTGTACCGGGTGACACAAGTCCTATACTGGGCGTACCAGATGGGCCTTGTGCTGACCTTGTACCAGGTATACTGGTCAGCTTATCCTGGTTTGGTTCGCATACCAGTAGATTGTCAGAGTGTTCCATACTGCCTGTACTATATCGTACTAAGCGATATTGCAAACCTTGATTCATATTACCACCAAAGCTTCCTCTCCTGTGTGGTGGAGCACTGCCTATACCAGCCCTTGTTGGTAGTGCTTATCTTATCAACATGTAGCATTGTGTCTACAAAGTACCGACATCATGTGATGTGAACATGATGTGATATCTAGGTTGTGGACATATGATGATGACATCCAACCACAAACAGTTCCTAAGGCAGATGCATTCATCCTGACATTAATAGGGGGACAATGAGGTTTGTATTATGCATGTGTTTTTGACTTTGATTATTAAAATTTTCAAATCTTATTTTCATAAATTATCAAATTTGTATGTACAAGTTTCCAATATATGCCTTGATTGACAAGTGTGTGTATGCTATTTTTTATTTTTTTAACAGTTCTACTAATGTTTTTTTAATGATATGTTTAATAACATATCATAAAATGTATAAAATAAAAGGGCGGCAAATATGCATTAAAAGAGGGAAAAGGACAAGTTTGTTATTGAAACTGACTAGTGTAATTGGTACTGGCTCAAGTTCAACCACAATTAGTATGAATACTTGATTGGTATTTGAATCATTATCATGGAGATAATATTCTTTTTGTATCAGTTCAAGTCGGTATGGTTACCATATAATTCTGACCACCATCTGGGTTTAGTAGCAGACCAGTATTTGAACCATTGCCATGCAAAACATAATTAACTTTTTCCTTTTTGTTTTTAGATATCACTTATCATTTCATATATTATGGACATAATTTTCTTCTTTTGGTTGTTAGGGATCAATTAGATTTTTTGGTTCAATGTTACATTGTTTACTGTGATTATTTATTTTCCTTTGGTGTACTGATAGATGCCAAAACTGTAGGACTACTGGGCTTCCGTTGGGTGTGCCATAATGCAATGCAGCAACACTGAGGTAACATTAGTTTTCTTTGTTCATCCTCAGGACAATACTTGCATTCACCTTTGCAAATGCTGTTGTTAGTGTTTATCTATATCTGCAACATTTCTGTTGGAAGTATATGCTTTACAGTTTAGTCAAAAGACTTAATACACTAGAATTTAAATAGTAAAAATTGTTGGTAGCTGCAGGAAGGCATACCTAGCAATGAGTTTTCTTGTTACATTGCCTGTTCTCTGATTATATTCATATTTAAAATTTGGCAAATGAAGTATCCTTAATTTTTTTTAATACTCACACTAGTTCTGTCAAATTTACAATATCTTATTACTTTTTTTTGAATTGGTCTATCAGGTTGGAGCAGGCACAATGAATCCATTGACATTCTTGCGGGTACTAGGACCAGAACCATGGAATGTTGCGTAAGTACACTTTTGGATTGCTATGGACCTATGGTTATGTTGTCATGATTCATATGCCTGCTTCATGCTTTTTTTACATGGCAAAGTGAATCTTTTGAAAGATTTTAGTTCATTACCAAAAGTTGTAGTGTTAAAATCTATTTTAGACTGGTGCAACATTTTCTTTTCGTAATAATTGTCCTAGATAGCCACTGGTTTACAAGATTTAGGAGTCAAGTGCTCCTTTGAGAATATGCCATGGTGGTTAATTTGGGATGCAATTTCATCATGAATTATAAATAATATTCTTGATACCTAAGGGCGTATTAGACAGTCTGTAAAGCATGGAACATGCATGTGACAAAAACATGATATGATACTGACACGCCATATAAACTCTAATAAAAGAAGGATATGACACAACATGGATATAGCAATTATATATGAATTTTTTTGTATATTATTATAATTTTATAAATTGTACATTTAAACAATCATCTACTTCATATATGCATAAATAAAAAGTTCATAAATATGATAACACGAGTTTTATATATTAAGGAGTAAGTAAAAAGTCCAAACTATGTTCAAATTGCCAATATTTGCCATGTCTTGAAGACTTATATAAGTGCCCTATCAATATCTATGTGTGTCTATATATATCATCCCATTAACAAAAACATGTTAGATGGTATGGGCAATCAAATATGCTTAAATTTTCATCAATTATTTGGATTATGGAAGTCCATGGATATGATTTTGAGTGTTTGTGCATCATAATGTTGGGTTGTATTAAATCAAGGTTTGTGATACTACCTGATATGGTTTGCCATGGTGATATTTATTGGTTTGATAGTCTAACGATTGACCAAAATTAATTGGGCAGTTCAAGCTTGGTATAAAGACATGAAGTTAGCATGATTTTGCCTAAATCATGCAATGCCCTTGTGACACTTACTTGCAAAGGGTCAGTTTGACCGAAACCTCATGTGGTCCCCTAAGGACCTACAAAGAGAAACCGTGTTAGTCAATGAGTGTAACTCGGGATTTGTACAAGCATGCACTTGAGGATATGCTCCAAGTAGCAAGGATTGCAATTTTGGATATTAGACTCATGTTAGTAGCCGGTTGGACTAGTCGGCCCTAACATGTATTTATGTATCAGTACCTGTACATTAGTATGTAACATGACACCAAAAGGGGGAGGAAGAGGAAAAAAAGAGGAAGAAAATGAGAAGAAAAGGAAGAGGGGGTAGAGAAGAGGAGGAGGGGGTAGGAGGTGATGGTGGAGGAGGTAGTGGTAGAGGAGGATGAGGAGAAGGTGAAGGATGAGCAGGAGAGGAGTTCTACTGGCAGGCAACAGGCAGTGGACGATGTGCAACATAGGTCACCAGAGAGAGGCACGTGAGAAGGGGTGTGGTGGGGTAGGGTAAAGGATTTTTATTTATGGTTAAAAAAGCTGAAATGGGTTTGCTGAACGATTAGCCCACTACTGTTTGTGGACCATCTGAAATTGGATGGTCTATGTACCAGTTTATGCCCGGATTGGTAGGTCCTGGCTGGTATATGCCGGTTTAGGTGAAATTGCATTCCTTTCCAAGAACCTTCTTTGAATGATTGTTAGGTTTCTGGACTCAACCTCCCTTTTTACCAAGCAGCTTGCAGTTTGCACCACTATGTTTCCACTATCTCTACAAATCATGCTGATTTTGATTCATTCATCAACGCAAGAATCATTTAGAGAGGATTAGCATAGGAATCAGATAGGCTAGTCAATTCTAAATATCTTTCTCATTCTTTTGTGCTTCTATATCGGGATCCAAAGTCTTGCACACTAGAGATGCCGTGTAGTGTTTCCATCTTGCTATATGTCTTTTTAAGCAGAATAAATATCACATATGGTCACCATGTGAAAGTTGTAACAGGTTTGTTTTAGTTATTTTATTCAACTGTTGAAATAACATAACAAGACTTGTTCCCTTGCTCCACTGGCACATTAAATTCTGTCAAACATTCATATGTATCCTACTATACTTGCTTTTCTGAAAAATGCCTCTTTATTTATGCATGATAAGATTTGTTCTCATGTTCTTCAAGCATATTAGAACAGGTTTCTTAAAATGATTGACATAAAAGATTTGTCAAAGGTATGCGGAACCCAGTGTGCGACCAGATGATAGCCGTTATGGGGACAATCCTAATAGGCTTCAATGCCACACTCAATTTCAGGTTAGAGCTTGGTTTGTTATTTTCCTACAAATGTTGCTTAAGAGTAATTTAACTTTTTAAGAAAGTTTATGTTATCAACTCCCAACTTGGTTCTTTTAACTTTTGTTCATTTGAGAACTTCAGGTTATCTTAAAACCTGATCCTGGAAATTCACAAGATCTCTTCATTGGTAGCCTTTCAGCATTAGGTAAGATATTTTACATTAGCTAAGCTGATCATTTTGCTCAAGATATTCCTGTTCATTTCTGTATGAGCCTATAAGCCATGAGGTTTAAAATCATCATTGATCAATGAATGACTAAGATTTTTCTTTCTTTGAATTGGTGCAAGAGAAATATGAATTGATTGGTAAAAGGCTTATGTGGGAAGTTTGTTTGACGTATTGGTAAAAGTGCCACTTGATTGATACTCCTTTTGGTTGGAATTGCAAGTATCTGCATCTTTTATAGTGTTTGTCTGCTTAGTACTTTTTATATGGAACTGTACGTTTGTGAACTAATAACTGTGATTATCATGTTTATCTACTTATTTAGTGGTTCTATATTGTTAGAGGGAGCCACTTCTTTGGCATCATGGCTAGCTAAATCAGATGCCAAACGAGTCTAAGTTCCTGCAAGGCTGCAACAATAAAGATGGTTTTGGTGGTTGTTTCCTCTGTCAAAGGTGGGATATTCATAGAATCATGACAGTGTCAGTGTGCCACCATCAACCTTTGAAGCGCTTGACAGGATAAAATTCAATATTCTGAAGATTTTAGAATTTTTGGTCTTCTGAGCCTCTAGTAGATCATAATAGCAAATCCATATCACTTTTTTCACTTAGGAGGGATGCAAATGTTCCTACAAAAAATAGCTAGCAGTGGGACTCTTATGTTACATACCTTCATTGCAATTTACATTAGAACAAAATATGATTGACATCCACTGTAAACAAACAAGAGATCAAGTTGCATCTAAATTGATATTACTTCACTAACATCTCAACAAATTGAATACTTTCATCGAGGGGTCAACCACTTGAAGATTTTGACTTGAGTGGATAGATGAACATTTAGTGAACTTGTCCTCTCAAAAATTTTTTTGAACTAAACCTAAGCATTGTTGCAGCAAATATAGACGAGAATATTTAGAGGTTCTGTAATACAAAAGAAAGATGAAGAAATAATACATGGGCATATCATTTACTGTTCATTTTTGGCCATAGACCACCCCAAAGAGACCAGTTACTAGACTATTCCTCTACTTTGCCAAAAGATGCACAGTGCTCTTTTTTTCTTGTAAATGGTTCAAATTCTTTTATCGATATGAATGATCTATATAAAATCAATAAATTATCAACTATTATTTTGAAAACCATTTTGTTACTAACGTAGTGGTAGAGACTAGAGAGTACCATGTTTTGCCTGGACCTTAAACAAGACAAATTGAGTGCAATGTGGCAGTTTGAGAGAATATTATCACAACTTAGAAATCCAAAGTAGAGTTAAGTTATCCAATCAAAGTTTAGTAGCTTATTTTTGCATCTCAAGGAGGAACTCATTAGCAATTTAATTAATTGATAATGAATGGGATTGACATTGGTTGTTGATAATTGTATTTTCAGTAAGCAGCTACTTTTAGAGTAAGAAACATATTTGAGCATAAGTTGCGCCCAAGACCTACAATATCTATTTCATGAAAAGGATGAAACCAAGATTATAAAAGTAGCTCAGAGGGGTAGAAAGGAAAAGAAATAAAAATATGGAACAGGAATGCGAGAGTGGAGGGAAGGGTTTAAGATTAGAATGTGGAATCTCACAGAAAACATGAAATATTTTGTATCTTGTTACACCATGACCACCAAGATACCATCCACTTGATGATGGAAAACTGATATGTAGCACGCCTTCGTTATTCAACATGACAGTAATGATTTCAGATATTCTGTAATCTGTACTAATAGCAGCAGTTTTTGATGGCTGACTTATTTGTTAAATAAGTTATGTGGCATTTTATATTGATGGCAGGAAAGGAACCTCATTAACAAAACAGACCTTGCACTTTAAAGGAACAGATAGCTGCTATTTCTTTTCTGTTCTTTTCTTGTTTGTACAGGTTATTTTTTTTACTTTTAGTTTAAAAGTATGCTTTCTCTTCATTTTAGGAATCAACGTGAATGAACATGACATTCGTTTTGTGGAGGACAATTGGGAAAGCCCGGTAAAGCCTTAAACCTCAATTGGTGAACGTTTCTAATTTTAGTTTCTTTCTTGTGGAGTGTTTTATAAAGTAGCCTTAAGCAATGAATATTTGATTGGGCTTCAAAGATTGTGTTGAAAATCTTCCTAAGAGCTTTTTATCAGATGCATTACTGGTATTCTCTTTGTTTTTTTATTGAATATCTCACAGGTTCTTGGAGCATGGGGATTAGGCTGGGAAATATGGATGGATGGTATGGAAATTACTCAGTTCACGTACTTTCAGCAGGTATTTTGGTCTCTGTATACAGAAAGTTCTATGTTCACAAATCTTTTTGGTATCATCATCACAACTTGTTCTCTTCAAATTTGGCCATGTGCTTTTAGGATTTAGGAAATCTCAAATCCATTCAATCTTAGTTCTTACTCTTGTTTGTTTTTTTTGTAAAATATGGTCATAGTAGCTCCTGCTGAGGGTGAGACTTGGTACCATTGATATCAACTAAACTGGTTTGCATTGATCGGAATTTACTGGTTGGACCAGAAAATGACCGTTTGTGCTGTCCTGTCTGAAAAAGGGTTATTGGTAACCCTACCGATATGGGAAGTATGCAGAATCTGATTTAACACCTACCAAATTGACTTACTACCCAGTCTTAATGATTAAAATCGGGACATCGAGCGATAAGCCTATCCCTCTCCCCTCACTTTCTTTCTCCCGATATGTCTCCCTCCCCTCCTCGCCATCTCGTGATTGTCCCTCCACCACCTTGCCACCTTACCACTGCTGTCCCGTTGCTTCATCGGGTTGCCACTTCCTCCATGCCACTATCTGTAGGGGTAAAGCTGGAGCTTGGATGTATTGACTTTTCCCATACCTTGCATTGCTGGGAGCCTCATGTATTCGTTCACCCTTTTATGTTTGTAGTGGCTTCCATCATTTGTGTTATTGTCATTTATCACTGTCTAAATATATTTTTTATATATGGAAGTGTCCATATTATTGATTTTGTTATGAACTTTATCCTGCAATTCTTTCTCTTTCATTTGTAATATTAAGTTTTGGACCTTAAAATAACTCTGTAGCTCTCAAGCTTTCAAGAGATGCAGCATGCTGATGACAATTGATATTAATAAAATTATCTTTCAGGCTGGAAGCCTTCCACTTTTGCCCATTTCTGTGGAAATAACTTATGGTCTTGAAAGAATCCTTATGTTACTTCAGGTAAAGATTTGTGGATCATGAAAATATTACATCATTTTTTTCTCTTATAAAGCACTTTTGAAATGAGCATGTTTGACAGGGGGTCAATCATTTCAAGAAGATCCAGTATTCAGATGGAATTACATATGGAGAACTATTTTTGGAAAATGAGTATATTGCTTATATCTAATTACTTCTCCAACATATTTGTTTCTTATCTTGCTTATATGATATTTTCTCAGTAGTCCTACACAAGATTATATTTCGCAATATTGTCAGTTTTTTGATAGGATACAAAGCTTCCAATTGAGAACTTTTTGTTATCCTTAAAGGATTCGTTAGATCTGATTCTTGTAGCTTTTTAGATTTACATCCACATGAACTGAAACTAGATATACAACTTAAATATTGCTCTTGCAAGACATAACACTAAAAGTGAGAGCACTAGTGAAACATGAGCTGACTCTTGGACAAAGGACAGTAGATGTTTAATTTTTGCAACAATGATTTCCTTGGAGTCTCCTTGGTCACCACTACTCACTCTGAAAGAAACTACCAGATGCCTGTACTTTACAATGTCCAATCAATGGGTCCATGTTTGATATAATAAAATAACAAAAATCTTAAGCAAGTATTTTTGAGGGCTTGAGCACATTTAGATGCATTTGATGTCCCTTTGAGGTAATGCATTTATAGGATTCAGAAAATTAAGGAACTTTTGTTTGGAACACTTTAGTTTAGCATCAATTTCACAAATGTCTTTCAAACTGGAAGGATATAGAATGAAGAGGTTGAACTCATACTTGAAGGGAGCATGAGACCAATCGATTAGTAATAAGCTGGAGAAATACTGACTCGTGAATTACACATGTTGGCTGCACTAACCTGTACTAACATGACTGGAGAAATCAATTGACGAAAGCAATCAAGCTACACGAATGGCATGCTCAAAGTTACAAGGAGTGATCATGGTATATTGCTGGTCAAAGTACAACATAGCTCGTACGTGTATGGAAGCATATGAAGCTTCATATGAAATTCAATTAACATATTCAAATTTATATATAATTATCTATAAATAAAGAAATGTCCAATCGAATCTAAATTATTAATAGATATTTATAGTCCAAACCTAAAATTTACTGGATTATGTTATATAATATTATAATCATTTCAGATCCAGTGATAGTTGTAGCTAAATGTATGTTTATACAATCCCTTGATGCATTTGTGCATCTGGGTGTATTTCAAGAAGCTGAGGGTTTAATCCTTATAGTTCGTCTGCTGCTTGTGTGTTGTGTGCTTTTCGCCCTTGTGGCTGTAATTCCACCTCCCCCAAGGTTGGGGTCAGCTTGTGCCCAGGTGGCACTGGTAGAAAAGGAAATGTTTATTTGTGTTGCAAAATTTGCTATAGCAATTGATGAACTGATATAAAAAACATTAGTTTTGTAATCTATTCCAAACATATAATGTTAACTGGATAAGAATTTTGTTTCAGAGATTACAAACTACTTAATGTACGTGATCCTGAGTACTATATCAATCTGCAAGGTAATAAAACAAAGAATGACATTATAATGTCTCATTGGATATATTTTCTTAATAAGATATCAGTTGTTTCTTGTAAGGTTCTGAATACCGTACTGTACCGGTGTACCGATCAACTGTCGATATGGTACATACCAAGCTGTATTAAGCATACTGACACATAGTACACTAAGGTGTACTGATGTACCACCATACCAATTCTCTATCGGACTGGTATGTACCACCCATACTGAGCGGTACGTTATGATATTGCAAACCATGGTTTCTTGCATAATCATGTTTTAGAGTTGATATTTATGTTTTTAGTATGATACAGTTTTTTGTTGTCACAATCATGCTTTAGAAGAACAGATTGTATTTTAAATTTCAATTGATCAGGATTACTAAATAAAAATGTCAAAGTTTATTCAGTCTTTGTTTTATAGTTAGTAACATTCTAGTGGTGATTATTTATTACTCTCCTTTGTATTTGTTTGGAAGTTGACTATTGAAATGTTCTATAGCTAAGTCTGTATTCTTGTAATCAACCTTTAATTCATGTTCAATGTTGATGAATTAGTTACAAAGATGACTTTATATTCGAAATTGGTATGCAATTTCGAATGGTACCGCTCGGTATGGGCGGTATGTATTGGTCCGACAGCATACGGGTACGCAGACCGTCCGCTACCGGACGGAACGGGCTACAGTACTACAGTGTTACACTGTAGCAGTGCTACAGTAAAGGGAAGAAATATATAAAACCGCTTGGTATGCACTGGTGTACTGCTCGATACATGGTACCGTACCATACCGAACCAACCTCGAAATACCGGTACGGTACGATATTGCATACCTTGCTTTATAATGCTTATCTTGCCTTTTATGGGCTAATGGATGACAAAATAATTGCACGGTATTGCATACCTTGCTTTATAATGCTTATCTTGCCTTTTATGGGCTAATGGATGACAAAATAATTGCACGGTATTGCATACCTTGCTTTATAATGCTTATCTTGCCTTTTATGGGCTAATGGATGACAAAATAATTGCTTGATCAATTCATAATATACTGTTGTAATGTCAACTGAAATGTACATGACATGCACTATCATGATAATAGTGTTGGGTTTTCTGATTTAGGAAGGAAATGAGTGCATATTATTTGGAGCATGCCAATATTGATCATATTCAACAGTGCTTTGAGAATTTTGAGGAAGAAGCTCAATCCTTGTTGGCCCTTGAACTTCCAATTCCAGCGTATGTCTAAGAATTTTATTTCAATTCTAGCGTACATTAACTGTTCAAGTTTTGTTAAATATAACTTTTGGCTGACAATCTCTTAGGTATGATCAGCTTTTGAAGGCTTCTCATGCTTTTAATATTTTAGATTCTAGAGGCTTTGTTGGTGTGACTGAACGTGCTAGATATTTTGGTCGCATGCGTAGGTGAGACTATTTGCTCTTGTATAGAACTGATGTATGTTTAAAGTGATGTATAATAGAGATTGTGGAAGTAGAGGGTTGTACTTTCGGTGATATGGTTTCTTTTGCATGATTCTGCAATAAAGGATTAAATAGTATTATTGACTTCTGTGCTTATTATCTTAAATTCTGCAGTCTTGCTCGGCAATGTGCTCAACTTTGGGTGAAGACACGAGAAACTCTTGGGCATCCATTAGGAATTTCTTTGGAAGGAAACCATCTTATGTTCCAAAAGTTTCCAAATCCAGGATCGAAGAAGGTTCCTTTATTTTTATTCTATTTTATTCTTTGGTTCAGGATTATCGCTAAAGCATTACTGATTTTATGAAGATGAGCCATATATCATGACTTGAAAACTTCTCAGCCATCTATCATGATCTAATATATCTTAGAGTAGATATGACATGATATAGTGACAGTGATTTAAAAAGCGCTAGGCGCCAAAAGGCGCTAAGGTCTAAAAACACCCAAGGCGTTAGGCGCTCGCCCGAGCGAAGCGAGGCGCTAAAATATAAAAATATATAATATAATTAATAAATAAAATTATTTAAAATTTTAAATAAAAATATGCTATTAAATTAAGAAAATTAACAGTATTAAAATTAAAATAATATATTATTAATCTAATAAATATAAATACTATTATTAGTATACTGTTAACAGTATACTGTATACTGTTAACAGTACATAGAAGGAGAAGAAGGAAGAGGAGTGTAAGGGGGTGCTGACTGAGAAAAGAGGAAGCTGTAGCGGCAGCGGCAGCAACAGCGAGCAGTGGCAGCGGCGAGCGACGACAGCGGCAGCGGTAGCGAGCAGCGATAGCGGTGAGCGGCAACGAGCAAGGTTAGGGTTGGGCAGCGATAGTTGATATCGGTTTTAGTTGGTTCGATTGAACCAACTAACCACCGGAGACCGAACCATACCTAAAATCCTAGTTTGGTCGCCTGGTTTAACCCAGGCGCTTGCCCGAAGCGCCCAGTGCCTGGGCTCAGGCGAGCGCCCAGGTGGCGCCTGGAAGTGAAGCGAGGCACTCGGGCCTCGCCTCGCCTCGCCCGAGCGCCTTTTTAAATCACTGTATAGTGATGCATACATGCTATATCTTAAAAAAATGAACACTTTATGGCAAGGTTCATCGTGCTGACCTGTATTGCCCGATACGAGCGGTACGTATGGGACCGGTACGTGGACCACCTTCTATCGAGCGATATCATTACATGACCTCATATCGGGCGATACAGGGTCTATACCAGGCAGTAACAGTTGAAATCCGACTATTACTGACTTATATCGATTGATAACGGTCAGATTTCGATTGTTACTAATCAAGGGCTGAGATTGCCCTATTTCAAACGGTCAAATTAATCGTTTGAACCATAGGAAAGGGTTTTAAGTCCTTTCCTCCCCTCTCGTTCAACTTATTTCACTCACGAACTCTTTCTCACTCACATCTCTTTCTCATTCTCATATTTTCACTCCCTTAAACTCAACATAGCTATGATTTGTGGATTGGATCAAATTTGGAAGGATTAAGAAGAAGAATACTTTTATCAAGAGACATCCAACCGTCACAACCGTCCGCCCAGTGTACAAAGGCAAAGACAAAGGGAAAGGCAATAGCATCAACTGCATTGTTGGAAAGAATCGAGTCGGGTGAAGTGACACCTTCATAATCGCATTCAACAACCTGTTCGGTCCAGAAACATGGCAGCGACGTGGATAGCAGTGCCTCGATCGATGATGGTGGCGATGCCAAGGAGTCGATGATCCTGTGTACACAATTTGAGGGTGGTGCTTGGACTGAGGTGTAGTATTTTACATATGCTCCCCAAGATTCAGATCATGGAGCTTAATGAGGTATTGGTCAAGTTTATACATGGAAGGGGAAGGTAGTGGATGATTTTGAGTAGATGTGATAGAGCCTACACGACGTAGACACAGAGCGAAGGTCATCGTATTCATAGCCGTCGTATTATGGAAAATCTTACGACCAGCAGCAGTACGGTGATTGGTTTTACGAAACGAAGTAGCAGATCGGTAGCGAAAGTCGAAGTTCTGACATTCTCCATGCTCCGCACTAATACATGCCACATTCATCCTTACCTCATGAGCTGTCTCGGACAGATGTGGTTTACACTTCACAACGATCAGACTATGACTATTACCATATTGATGCACTAATGATATATGATGTATCAGTATACTATGTCGTGAGATCAATTTCAGGATTGAGTCTGACAAACATATCAAATTGATATGCAGATACATATGATCGAGGATCCTAATCTACCACCCGTGGAGTCTTATTATTCTTTTTGGTGGTAGAACCAGGTATCTCCTTCGATTAATTACTTGATTCATTAGAATCTTAAAGTTTAAGTTGTTTAAAAAATAATCTAATAATTCAAATCATTTCCTTGTAAATAATTCAATATTAATGGAAGGACGATTCAGAACGTATCACAAAGCTACTCCTCAAAGCTCGAAAAAGATGTGTCACTATTATTTCCCAATTTAGATTATTTTTGTTAAAATTATACTAAATTTATATTTATTTCCAACTTAATAACCCTAATCTAATTTTTTTTTTATTTTTAAGTATTTTTTGAGCTATTTTTTATGATTTCGGGTATATTGTCGGTACACCCCAATGTACCGACAGACGATACGTTGGTATGCCTCGGTACGTATTGTATTGATGACTTGTCGGTACACCGGTATAGACCGGTAAAGCAAACCTTGCCTTATGGTATGGATATAGAAATAAAAGTTTTTTAAATATGGAATGTTAAATAATGAGAAGGATGATTTTTTAAGTGCTACAATATATAGTTACAAATTGTTATGAATAAAGAGTAACTCACCAACATCTTTGATCTATTTGTCATGACTTAAACTATTTTGACACATAATTCTTCAAGTATATAGAGAAGATAATAACTTGTGAATTGGTTCAATGTTCTGTCTCGATTGGTACATACCACATGGTACATACCATTTTGATGCCCTTGTCGGGTTGGTGGCATGGACCACAGCACCTGGCTCCCCACACCGTAAATACTCAAATCTTAGAAATATTAATTTCTTGGGATCCAGTTAATTCCGCTGCGAAAACCTCTGGGTCCATCCAATCTGCCCTTGTACTCTTTGCATCGGGGATCTGCAAAGGGGAACATGGGGAAAAATGTAAACAAAAAAAGGAAGAAGATGAAGAGAAAGGAAAAGAATCCTTGTTTGCTTGATTTTGAGTCATTTCTGCATTTTTTTGTTTTATTCTCTTTTTTACCTAATCTTTTCCGTCATGTTGTTATATAGACTTAATAGTTTCTGTTGTTTAAATTGAACTCCTGCACTAAGTGTTCAATTTACATTCCATGTTTGAAAATGATTTTCTCTTTTCCCTTGTTTTTTATCTTGTGTTTCTATACTAGCAGATGATGGAGCAGCCTGGAGCATTTGTTCTTGAAATTGGCACTGAAGAGATGCCCCCACATGATGTAAATGAAGCGAGTAATCAAGTACTGCTCCTTCCTTTTAAACAAAGTAGCCTTTAGTTGGGTAATACTTTTCTCATAGTTCAACTAGTGAACTTGATGCATCTTGATGCAGTGAGTGTTGACTGCAGTGTTAGGTTTTGTTTCAGATGTCAGTATGATTATGTTGGTGGATACTTAGGGCTTCATCCTAATTTACTTCATGTCCTGGTTGCTAGATATGCAGTTGACTTTTTCAAAATGAAAAAAAAATGATTTCTCTAATTGTGTAACTTTTTCACACTTGTTGCAGCTCAAAAATCTAACTGTAGAGTTGCTGGAAAAACGAAGACTGAGTCATGGTAAAGTTTCAGCATATGGTACACCACGACGACTAGTGGTAACAACTCTCATCTGTAGTGTCCTAGAATTTGGTGAATCTTGAGTAGTGGAATTTATTTTTGATACTTATAATTTGAAGTGCAATTGAATTTTCTAATGCCTATAAATATGATAAATTCTGTTTCCAACATTGCTCCTGTTTGATGTCCTAATATAGTAGCCTATGTGAGTATAGTTTCTTGTATTTGAGCCTTGTATCTCTGTGAACTTGTTCTAACTGAATCTACTGGTCTGTGCATTATCGAATGATCAAACACAAAAACAACTATTAACAAATAGTCCATCTTCAGTCGACACTTGTACCAAGCCTTTTGGTCCAATATTCCCTGTTTTCTTATGGATGAATGCATCAGGTAATATCAAAAGTGTCGCAAAAAAAAAAAAAAAGAAAGAAAAAGGGAAAAACAAAAGTGTTACTTGTAGTTCAAGAGGACAAGCCTTGGTATCATGAGAAGGTTGCTCATTTTCACTTTGATGATCAGGTTCCAGTTATTGAAATTGTCTTTTTGCTTGTAGGGTAAGGCATATATTGATTCTCTCTAGACCTATTATTTGCTAGACCAGACCCCATATATGCTAGAGCCTCTTGTATATTTTTGATGCTTCTAGTTTCAAATTGATGTCGTAATAATTGTTTATAAATTTAACAAATTTAAACATTGCTGCGTTAGACTTCATATTTGTTATGAATTATGATGCGGCCATTATTGCTTTTCTTGTTGTAGTAGTAATTAATCCCACAAAGGAAGATTTGTGTCAATGAATCTAAATTCTTTCCTCAAATCAGTGATTTAAAAAGGTGCTCGGGCGACGCGAGGCCCGAGCTCCTCGCTTCATTTCCAGGCGGCGCGCTTCAAAGAGGTGCCGCCTGGGCGCTCGCCCGAGCCTAGGCGCCGGGCGCTTCGGGCGAGTGCTTGGGTTAAACCAGGCGACCGAACCAGCGTTTGAGGTCTGGTTCGGTCTCCGGTGCTTTAATTTGTTCAATCGAACCAACTAAAGCACCGATATTAGCGTGACTTCCCCAACCCTAACCCTGCTCGCCGTTCACGCTACTGTCGCCGCTGCTCGCTGCCGCTGCTCGCTGTTGCCACTGTCTCCGCTCGCCGCTCCCGCTGCTCGCTGCTACCGGTGCCACTGTCGCTGCTTGCTGCTCCCGCTGTCGCTATTGTTGCTCGTTGTTGCCGCTGCCACTATCGTCGCTCGCAGTTGCCGCTCCCGCTCTTCTCATTAAACACCCTCGGTCTTCCGACTCTTCCCTTACACTCTTCTCTTCTTTCAATAGTATACTGTTAATAGTATACAGTATACTGTTAACAGTATACAATATACTATTAACTGTATACTAGTAATAGTATTTGTATTTATTAGATTAATTTAATAGCATATTTTTATTTAAAAATTTAAATAATTATATTTATTTATTATATTATATATTTTTATATTTTAGCGCCTCACTTCGCTCGGGCGAGCACCTAGGCGAGCGCCTAGCGCCTCGGGCGTTTTTGGACCTTGGCGCCTAACGTTTTTTAAATCACTGCCTTAAATTACTTTCTTCGAAAAAGTTGAATAAATTTTTTGATACCCCATGGTTACTAAGGGGTCTTTTGTTAAGTTTAGGTGGTAGCATTGATAGACTTGTTTAATGTTTCGATACCCAATCCTTGTGATGATTGTGGATGGAAGGTCATAACCACCAGGGTTTGTTGTACCACAGTATACCACCCGATACAAGCGGTAAGTACAAGTCCTACAAGGACCAGTATGCGGATCACCCTATATCGGGTAGTTTATGTTAAATGGCAGTATATTGCTCGATACAAGGTTTGTACCGGTCAAAATGGTCGAAATCCGATCGTTACCAACCTATACCAATCGATAACGGTCGAATTTCGACTGATACCGATCAAGGGCAAGGATTGATTTGATTTAAATGGTCCATCTGACCGTTTGATCCAGTAGAAAGGGTTTTAAAACCCTTTCTACCCCCTCATTCTCTCCTTTTTCACTCTCTTTAACTCATCTATTCAATCACTTTCTCACTCATATTTTTCTCATTATCTCATCTGCACTCTCTTAAACTCTACAAAACTGTTCCTCAAAGTCCGAAAAAGATATGTGCCATTATTTTTTCCTAATTAAATTTTTTTTTGCTAAAATTATACTAAATTTATATTTATTTTCAATTTAAAAACCCTAATATAACTTTTTTATTTTTTTTAAATTTCTGGAGCTTTTTTTTGTTCTTTTTTTTTATGTCGCCGGTATGCCCCACTGTACCTACACATGGTACATTGGCACAGAGTGGCATGTATTGTGCTGTTGGCCGATTGGCACACTGGTTTGAACCGGTGAGGCGAACCTTAATAACCACATGCTTGTCACATGTTTTTGTTCTCCATGATCTGGTGCTCAAGTGAGCCATGGATGTTGACGGTTAGGTAATGACGTTGTTGCTCTTGTGCTAATTGTTGATGGGATACTGGATGCCTGCCTGTCAAACATTTCTTTTTCTTCTGAGCTTCCATTTTGGCCACCAGCTCAACTTTGAACACAAAGGAATCTCTTTTGTAGCCACAATAGAAACCTGCTTCAACAGCAAAATTGCTCCCTTTTTCACAGAACAACAGCAGTAAATCCTTTGCTTTCTTGCTCTTCATCCATTTCAATCCCTGGATTGTTTTGGTGTTATCATCTTTGTTGCTAGACCAAAATAATATATGCTTTTTTGTTAGAATACAACAATAGAATGTAAATTTCACTTTCCACTCCTGCTCTTCCTGGGCATCGTACTCTGGTCCTTTTAAACAAGAACCCTTGGCATGTGACCACCTACTGTTTGCACTTTTTGTAAACTATGACTCAAGACTTAATGTCATTTGACTAATTTTAATTTATCTATGTGAATAAAAGGGCATTTGTGTAATCTACATGGTGCCAAGTGCATCTAAATATTTAGATAGGGAAGTACATCTGCAAGGTGCTAATTCATGCACACATGGATTGCTGTGGACCCACTAAATCTGTGTTTGCTGCCTCTACATCACAAGTCACATCTACATGGATGACAAAGACATAATGTGGATATCTTCATCTACATGGTGCCACACTAGCTTTAACACATAAAGTGACCCAGGACAATATCAGTTGAGTCCTAGGTAAGTCGTAGATAGGTTTAGTTTAATCTGGTCTAACATGAGTTTTTCTGGGATAGTCAGTTATCTTTAATGATAATTTGAGAAGTTATCTAGTTTGATTCGAATTCAACATGTTGATTAAGATGTATTAATTTACTGTACTTTTTATCAAGTCAGTTGAGTTAGTTTCGTGAAGTTTCGTGAAGTTTCGTGTCTAGTTATGTTTAAGTCCTGCCGGTTTCCAAGTTCACTTGCTATAGTTCAAGTTTGGTTCTATTTGTTGGGAAAGTATGCAAGTCAAAAATGTCATTAACAGTTGATAACATTCTTTGTCTTCGCGTTCGGTTGATGAGGTTTGGCGTTTAATGCACGGTGTACTGTTTGGGTGAAAGCAGTAGCTGATAGCTGCTTTTTTAGTTGCTGTGGCATGATACTGAAGAGAGTTCCGGACTCCTTCCTCCTCACCAAGAAAGGTGGTAGTTTCTGTAGTGGCGACTCTCGAAGAATGCATCTGAAGTCAATACTAGGATTTTCCCTGATTAATTAGTTATTTAAGAACTGAGAAAGGTCAAATAAAATTGAATATTATGCTTTATGAATCATATCAACCTAGACACTGAAAACAATGAGAATAAGCTTTTATCTGGGCTTTAGATTTTGATGTTATAAAACTGTGCTATTATTTTCTTAGCTTATCAATTGGTTTCTCTGAACCTAATAACTTATTGGAGTAGCAATGATCTGCCAGACATGTTGTGCTAATAAATAAAAGTTTCAATATTCCAAGAAGCATCTGTGCTCTCCCTGTTTTCTCTGCTAGACCTTTACCCTACTTAAGTAGTTATTCTTAACCTGATGAAGTTTGGATTGAGTAAACATATGGATTTGATGCTTATGATTTGAGGATTATACCAAAAGGTTCTATAATATTGAATTCTTAATGGTGTTCTACATGTGAGACCAGGATGATATACTAACAACAGAAAGGCATTTTTTTGTTTTTTTATCCTGGTCATGTATTTTACTATCCTAAAAATGGTTTTATTAACTGCTTGACTTAATTTGTTGTTACTATCTCTGATGGCTCATTTAATTAACAACAAAATCAGACTTGCTCATGTATGAACAAATGGAAGTTTCAAGATCCCCATGATACATTCCTACTTGCAACTGTTTGCAAACTGTTTCCAGATATGTTTTACAAATCCTGATAGTTCAAAATAGTGATCTTATAATTATGTTGGATCTTATATATATGGTTGTATAAAAAAAGTTATATGCAAATAGTGATCAATAGATTTGACCATATATTTTTAAAAGCTATTTTAATCTCGGCCCTTAACTTAAATCCTGAAAACGATGCCATCAATCATGTATATTTGTTAGTTATTACTTGTTACTTTAAATTCTGATAGCCTTTTGAGGTACCAAAGCAATCAAGAAGATGACATTTTGATGGTTCAATTTGCAATTTTGCAGTACACTGGAAGTATTTATCATAATTATTCTCATTGATCATTGTCACTGATCGAATGCCATCATTTTATAACTAATAAACTTTTGGGCCAATTCACAGATTTTTGTTGAGAGCCTCAGTCATAAGCAAGCAGAAAATGAGGTTGAAGTTCGAGGTCCTCCTGCATCAAAGGCATTTGATTCTGAAGGAAATCCTACTAAGGTTCATTGGTTGCTTCAGTTCCTAATGAAACTTCTGATGTAGTATGCTTCTATATATGAAGGATATTGTCTCTACCAACAGACTTCATATCACGTATTGAAATATATGCATACCTTTAGTTTGACATAAAGTTCTGTCTTTTTTTCTTAACTTTTATGGTGGCAAGAAGAAGGTTATTATCTCTCTCGTTTTCATTGCATTATTGATCCTAAATGCATGGCATATGTCCTTTCATGTTTCAACTTTCAACTACTTATCATCTGATATAATGATCACTTTATTTGCTGTTTTTTGTCTAACATCATGTTGCACACATACATATGTAAAAGGTGATGGATATCTGAACTTCAAAATATCAAAGTATCAGCTGTTTAAGTATTAGAGGTTGTATGATGTGTCCTTGTTACATCAGCATAATTTAACTGTCAGATTTTTGTGAGAAGTAATTAAAATAACATAATAGTCCAATTCTTCATAGAATAGTTTTGAATGTTAAAGCTAAAGCTAAAGCTAGCCTTGGTTTTTGTTGTTCAACACTCTTTAGCTAAAAGCTTATCCGTGTTCTTTTTTGTTGGTATAAAATATCAATATATGCTGTCAGGCTGCTGAGGGATTCTGCCGTAAGAACTGTGTAGCTATTGGCTGTCTATACAAGAAATTTGAAGGTTAGTACTATTCTTCTCTGTGTCGTGCATTCACCTTTGGTGCTTCATAATCTAAATTTTCCATCAAAGACACTTTTATCTAGAGGCCATCCTAGTGCCAAAGATAATGATCTTCTCCCCAAAGTATAACAACAATTTTCAGCCATAGCAAAATCATGTTTTCCACCAGAAACATGGACTTTCCTATTGTGTAAGCGATATTGCAGATTGTGCTTTGCTCGCATCATGCTTCAAATGAAAAATGGTGTTTTTACTCCATTTGCTTTTTTCTTAACTGGATGCTGTCAGTCATACAACCAAGTGGTGCTACTTCTGTATTGGAAGTAGAATTTTCTGCTTTGCTGTTCTTTTTAATTATTTCTGAACCATTTACCTTTGTCGATAACCGTGAGCTTTTGGCTGTCTGGGAAGAGAAATTATAATATTTATGTATGTCTGCAGGTCATGAAAATTGTCTTCTTGACGTTCCTTAAATGCTTTGTGATGCTGAATGTGCTTGTCGATATATAGAAATCATCTACAAACTGAGACATACTCCTCTTCTGATTCGACATGTTATGTAATATGTAGGGCTGAATATGTTTGTGTGATGTTGGCTTTTAGTATGGTTATGGAATCGATGATCCATATTTGATGTTAGTCGAGGTCTTGTTTAGCCAATTTGAGTCTACAGTTGAGTTATGGCAAGTCTAGGTTTGTTATATTTATTGGATTACTTCTAGAGAGTTCTTAAGAAATTAGGATTTTTCTGAAGTTGGAGGGTCTCTTTACATGGAATTACATGGTTTTCCAAAAATAAAAAAGAAATGTTTCTATCCCCATTTTTCCACGTCTAAAAGTTCAATTTGAAGTTTAAAAACATTTATTAGGTCTACAAATAGAGCCATAGCGCTGGTTGTAACTAGTCCTTTTTTGATCTGAAATTTGAGATTAAGTCATAGTTTTGGTGTTTTTGAACTCTCTTTCGACATTCGAGTTCTTTGCATGATAAATACTCTATCTGCTACTACTTTTTTACTATAATTCTTAGTTTCCAATGTGTTTTACCATCATGGCTAATCTAAAGCCTAGTTTTGTTATAATTCTCCCTCTTTGTAGGACATACTTCTTTGGAGAAGTAGTGCCTCTAGCAGAACAAGATAGGGAGAAGAGCTAACTGAAGTAGTCTATCACTGTTCTGTTACTGATATGATAATACAAGTCTCAACCAGGGTTTGCTGTACCGACCCGTAACGGTACGTACCGGTCTGACATGGGACTGGTACGCGAACCATCCTCTACTGAGTGATACCATAACTTGACCTTGTATCGGGCAATATGGGGTCTATACCGGGCGGTAACAGTTGAAATCCGATCGTTACCCACCTGTACCCGTTGGTAATGGTCGAATTTCGATCGTTACCGATCAAGGGATGAGATCGTTTGAACTAAAAACCCTTTCCTTCCCCCTCTTTCAACTTATATTACTCTCTGAATCTCTTCAACTCTCTAAAACTCATTCTCACTCATATCTCTCTCTCATTCTTACTTTTTCATTCTCCTAAACTCAACAAAGTTACGATTTGTGGATTGGATCAAATTTGGGAGGATTAAGAGGAAGATTTCCTTCGGTTAGAATGTGGCAGAAGGAGCCGGACAAGATCGAGTCAGACTGCTCGAGAAACTAGAGACACCCAATCGTCACGGTCGTCCACCCAGTTTGCAAAGGCAAAGGAGAAGGCAATAACATCAGTCGTACCGTTGGAAAGAATCGAGTCGGGCGACGAAACACCTTCTCAATCACATTCAACAACCCGCTCAGTCCAGAGACATAACAGTGACGTGGGCAACAATACCTCAACCAATAATGGTGGCGACGTTAGGGAGTCGATGATCTTGTCTACATAATTTGAGGGTGGTGCATAGGCCAAGGAGCTGTATTTTACACGTGCCATGGTGTTGGTCCATTTCAGTCTAGTTGGTCATCCACTATTAGGTAAATCAGTTTGTTAAAATTCTCTGTCTATCCTTTCTTAGTTCCCTGCTGGCTTCATACTTTGTTCAGTATTGTCTGTAGTTAAGGGAAACTTATTACGAAATCATATGCCCATGGTTAATGTATGGTGAGGTGGAAGGCTTAGATCAGTTGGAAATTACAACAATTGGGCTTTCTTTATGCAATTAACCTTTATGTCCAAATTGGGTGATGTACTTATTTCACAATTTTCTAAGTTTTATATAGCTTTGTTAGTTCAGTTAGGAATCTTTATTTGATCGAAAAAAAGCACACAGGCTTTAGGTTTTGTGCTCAATGAATTGGAATATTTGATTGTGTGGTTTCCAGGATTGTGTTTTTGGTTGATCTGCAGGATTGAACTTTCTTAGAAAAGGGAGAACAGCAGGGAGCTAGCATTTTGCTTCAATTTTGTAGTGGATTATTCAGGTCTGAATCTGCTCATAGATATCCTAAGTAAACTGACTAAGCTCCAGCCTTGATGTGATAGAATGTGTTAGTTTGGTCTGTTAACATTATCTTCTATAATTGTTAATAGATAGCATGAAATGGCTTATTACTAAGATTGTTGATCTGGTCTGCTGCTTGTAGATACATGTTGCATAGGTAACAAAGAAAGTAAAAAGGGGGTGACAAATGAAAATGGCAGAGGACAAGATTTTAGAAGATAGAAGAAAAAAAGAAAAATTATTACACACTCCAATGGTTTCTTGAATTTTTACAAGATGACTGGAGAACCAATCTAAAGGCAGTCACACAATAGCAACATTGTTTAAAATTTTAGACTAGCTTCTTTGTTGTAGTAAATTTTCTATAGTTCATAACATTTCACTTAAAGAATCCTCCAGATCTGTATAATGTCATTTGAAACAAGACCTTAGACATGGTTTGTTATGCATCTCTTTTCTTGCTTTTGGCAATGCACAAGTTGATGTACCAGTCGATTGCATGAGATTTCATTTTGAAATTTCATGATGTATACATATTAATTATTCAATTTTGACCTTTATATACTACTTTCTTTTTTCCTCGAAGTAAATATGACCACTATTGATTATCACTTTCAATATCTATCTGTTGCAGGGAAGACAGAATACGTATATATTAAGGTGAAGGAATCTGCACAATCTGCTTTTGAGGTTCTGTACTTCATCTTTTATGACAAAATCAGTTTGTTTATGGGGATAATCTTGCACTACTTTTTTTGCTAAATGTAATTTTGTAAATTATGAACGTAGATGTTAAGTTTGCTGTTATAAGTTAATTTTAAGTAGAGACATGGATAGGCAGAGGGGCAGAAGGCTAGCACTGGTGACCTAAGTAGATTTTGTGAGAACGGTCATTATGGGCCTAAGATTGCCCATGGATGCTAAACTTACTAAAGCTAAATGGTATTGAAAATGATATATCGTGTTGTGAGACATGAGTTTAGTATGTATGCCTGATTTCTCTCAAGCTTTTTTTATTTCGGAGGAAACTAATGCATGATTTACACTTTAAAGCTCAAACTACCAATAGTAACTAAAACATACGTTATAGTTCATTACAGGAGTTCATATAACCAACTATACACTAAGTGACTAACTACAACACATCTGACCCTAAATAAATCCATCTTAAAAACCAATTCCCACCACTTTATCTACAAAGCCAAAAAGTTAACGTGAGACACTAACATACTCTTTAGAAAGAGTTCTCTCAAACGAATCTTGGGTCACTTCAAAAGGAAATGTTAATAATTGAGTGAAATAGCTTCTTGATTAATTACTGTTTTTCTTGTTAGTTTGAACCTTTAAATATAAAAATGTCTCTAGCAAGTAGTACATAATTTTTAAGTAGGAGAAAAACTAATTTTTAAGTAAGATGTAGCACCATAGGTAATAAGAAAAAGATGAGAGTACAAATGATCCTCTTATCATCCATTTTTTTGCTTCTATTTATGATCTAGTTAGGTAATGGCTGTAACTTATATCTCATGGTTCAATACAAATTTAAGTCGATTATTTATATATTTCGATGTTATATAGCAAGGAAACAAATTTTGATTGTACTGGTTGGTATAAATTGGTATTTGCTGCTCCAGTTAAGGATTGATAGTAGACTATATCAGGGTTCTCAATTTCAATATGTACCGCCTAGTACGGGCGGTATGTATCGGTCTGAGAGGATATCGGTATGCGGACCGTCCTCTATTGGGCAGTACCAGTGTTTTGACCAATACTGAAACGTATTGACCAGTACCACCTTGAATTTCGATTGTTATCGAGGCGTACCGGTCGGTACACCCTGGCGTGGTAGATGAAGGTATTTTTAAGGTTTTAGATATGCCCTGGTGTACCGACAGTATATATCGGTACATACCGTATTGAGCAGAGCTCGGTATGTCGATACAGATCGGTATTCAAAACCCTAGACCATATGGGTTGCTATATGTTTTTTCTATTTTTTTTAGGTGATAGTAGGTGGTATAAGTTGGTATATTTTTAGCATATTGGTACTAGACAAGTCATAATTTATCAAGACCAACATTCAACTGTGATTGAAATCATTATTATATATATATATATATTTATATATAATTTTTCTGGTAGAATTTGAAGATATTTTATTCAACAGAATTATGAAAAAAGTTGCAATTAATGGTACCAATACCTGGTTTCATTAGCCATGAGCTGCTTCAACAAAGGAGACAAAACAAAGGATGTAACATCATTCAGTTATCAGCTCCTGAACTAAATTATTGGCAAAAGAATTATGAATTTATGATATTTTTCTTGTGTTGCCTAGTACTGATAAGAAAGCTCTGGAGTTGTTGGGGCTTTAATTACATGTCAGATAGAGGGGATTTTTTTGCCCTACCCATTAGTTGTGTATTCTCTAATAAAAGAAATTATCTATCAAAGATAGCCCTGGAGTTATCATAGTTTAAAATTTAAATCACATTTCAGATCAAGGGGGAACATTCCTACCCATTTATATCGTCAATATTCACTCCAAAAATTACCAGCAAATCAGTGGCATGATTTACCCGCTGATTTAATATGTAATGGATCATATGAAAGTTCTTCATGAATAATGATAGTGTGATACATTACTTCACAATTTGTAAACTTATTGGAAGTGATGCTCTGTAATGATAATTTTTTTTATGGGTTTAGAAATGCTTCTAAGTTGCTATTCTACATTTTATAGGTGTTAATTGAAGATCTACCAAGTATTCTGACTAAGATCTCATTTCCAAAATCAATGCGATGGAACTCCCAGGTAAGATAGGTTGTTCCCTTTTTCTGAGCAGTTAGAACTTGCTAATTGCATTAAAGTGTTTAATCTTATTCTTGAATGGCCATTAGGTTTCAGAACTAAGGTACCAGTGTTCTACTGTTCTTTTTTACTTCTGTGCTCTCCATCGAATTGGAATGCTATGAAAGTTTTCTCCATCTATTGTCTTCCATTATCATCTTTAATAAAATATTACACTTTGTTATCAATTTCTAATATCCAAATAAGTTTCTGTTCTTCTCCAGGTTTTGTTATTTTTCTTTTATTCAACAGGCAGCAAGGTTTATGTTGTCCATTGTGTTTTTTGAATTTTTTTTTTCATTTTGCACAGTCCTATGTTCCTATCAATGTTGTTCATGACTGATTATGTCTTTGTTATGCTTTGTATTTTTCATGCTATTGCAAATGTGACAACATTTTATAAGATTTCCCTGCATGGCTACTCTAGTTGCTGTATGATTTTAATATTGATGTGTTGCCCTTATTGGATGGTCTGTGCTAGTCCACCTATACGTTTGGTTATATATACTCTATAATTTGCATGCTACACTGTGTTACTTATTATGTATTCTTTAAAGTTTAAACAAAATAAGAGAAGAGGACTTTATCAGGTTAGCCATTTTACTCTTGATTAATTTTGATTGATTGGTCCTCTCCTTTCTTGAGATATCCATACCCTAGTCTCCATGTTATTTGTTTATGTTTATATCTTAATAGTAAGATAGAAGGGATTACTTTATGAAGTCAACCTTTCTATTTTTGACCGAAGACTTCTCTTCTTTTGAGACAGGAGACTTCTCTTCTTTTGAGATAGATTCAGGTTGAAGGGTGAGTCTGGAGGTAGTCGATGGCAGCAGGAGGCAGCGAGTTGGGCCTAAAGGTGCTGAGTGCAGGTGTACTATGTGAGGAAGAGAAAGAGATGCCCCTTGGGGTTTGGTTGGGTGATAAGCTTTTTATTTTGGAGAGAGGAGGAGGCGGGGGGAGGGGTGTGTGGAAGGAGGCAGCAGGTGGGGGCTAAAGGTGCTGGGCGCAAGTATACTATGTGAGGAAGAGAAAGAGATGCCCTTGGGGAATTGGTTGGGTAGTTGGATTTCTAGAATTATAAAAATAAAACTGCAAAAGATAAAAAAAAGGACTTACAGTCTGGTTCACAAGGCCTACGAGGTGGTAAGCTTCTTTTAGAACCTCCCATTCGGTGTGGTCAATGTGTCGGTGGTATGAAAGTTCTGGTCTAGTTCGCCTGATATGTAGAATCATGGTTCTTACCTTTTCCATTTTAGTCAATTGTCACACTTCAGATTCAAACCCTAAAAGAAAACAAATGACGTAAATTATTGTTTTGAAATATTTTTTATTTAAAACAGACTGAAATTCTTCATATAATGAATTGGCAAAAAGGTACTGGCATGCCTCTGTGCCACAAAATTACAATCCCTACTTTGTATATTCTATGTATCAGAATTCAACATGATGAAGCTGATGTCACCATAAATTATTGCTCATTTATTTATTTTCGTCTATGCCTATGACATCTATATTAAAGTATCCTAAAATATATAAGTTACTTGTGCAACATTCTCATATATATGGAGTAAACATGTACCCAGAAGAAATATTTCAATTAAAGATGATCAGCTATCTTTCCTTACATCGTCTAGCCTCTTTGTAGCAATTTGGCTTCCCATTTTAATCCTTAATTCTATGAATGACAAATATTTTTGAAGGTAGCATTTTATCAAACATTGTTTTGTGCCATGTGCACTAGGTGCCTTATGCCATATACATGTATTAGAAGATCACATTCTCCAATTCTCTGTTTCTGATATCTTCTTTACTAAATTGTTGTATGATTTATCTATTTGGTATAGTTTGTTATAGGATTTATTAAATTATTTCAAATGCAGGTCATGTTTAGTCGGCCAATTCGCTGGATTTTAGCACTGCATGGGGATATGGTTTTGCCATTTGCTTTTGCAGGAGTTTCAAGGTAATTTATGGTAGTGACAGAAAGGTATCATTTCTATAAAATTTTCATTTCATTTGCAGCATCTTTTTGTATACCTCTCTCTCTATCCTACACCTTGTTTTAATTCTATGAAATGTCTATTCAGTATTCATTATCAACATCAAGTAAGATGAGTGGAACACTTCTATTCTATGCCTGGGGCCCTGGACTGATTATTGATCTTTATAATTTATTCTTGTATTTTGGTAGCAAAGTTTTTGTTAGTAGTTATCAAATATTTATATCTATTTGCCTTTGTCGTCTATACCTCACTTTACGTATAAATGTATATATATTGTGTGCATATAAATATATGCATATTTCTGTCAATACATATATGTACACATATAGACAGATAAATACATGTGTCGATAAAAAAATTCATTCTTATTGAATTTTCCATTAGAAAAAAAGTAAAAAGTGCATCAGAAGAAAATGCAAATTTTTGTTGGACGTTTTTACTGGTTTGGTGCTTCCTATATGTAAATAGTGTCTTGCATTATCTATTCACCCTTTGCAATCTTAATTTATGTTTTGATTTGGAAAATTGACCAATGAATCTTGATGTGTAGCCCTGCCACAATGATATAAATGAAGGTCACTACTAAAAACATAGGCTGAAATCCCTGGGTTGAATGACACAATCTGCATCAATTCATTTAGAAGATGAAGATAAGAAATAACTATCTTGAAACTCAAGTCTAATGGAGGTGCCCAATATAATTGACATTCTTCTACTATGCTAGGCCTCATTAGAAATGTCAAGGAATGTTGTAGACTTGCTGTCAATTTTTCATTGCACAAAAAATGCTTCTGCCAATTTAGAAGGCAAGCTGCTGAAATCAAAGAGATAGGAAGAGTAGGTGGACCCTTCATGAGAGGATGGTTAACTTGCTGATTAAACAACAAGAATGTTTGCTGCTTTGAGGACTCTCTCCAAGAAAATATCAGAAATCCTTTTTCTAACATAAGAAACAACCAATTCTGCTGCACCATTAAACTCCAAGTTTACATTTTGCAATTCGCAGAGGTAGCACAGATTTCTTCTCGAGGCGTACTAGCAGCAGCCACTTTCAATGAAATAAACTTAAGTTTGATCACTTTTTGTTGCTTTATTAGCTATAATAATTATGTGACAAAGGTTTACCTTACATGAATATTACAAAGTTGTTACGTAAATATTATGCTGTTCTTGAAACCATATGCTAAATAGCAATATGCTTGGAAGATTTCTTTCATAAATTTACATGGTAGATAATGATATCTACCTAGTTTAGTGATTTTTCTCATGCAAATTGATGTTTCTTCTATTTTTTTAATGCTAAAAGTGGGAGGCAATCGTGTGGGCTTCGTAATTCATCTTCAGCCATACTTGAGGTAATTAATCTAATTATTTTGAAATTTATTGTTTAAACATCTCTAATATGTGGTTTTATATTTGTGAGTTTTCAAAGGACTACAACTTTAAACCAAAGTAATTATAGGTTAACTGCCAAAGTTTGTTATTCTATTGGGTTTATTTGATAAGAAGCAAGCATATTCTTGGCATCTTTTTGTAGTGTTATCAGGCTTAGGTATTTATATTATAAATTTATAATATTATCTTGCTTTGGTTTTTATATAAAAAAATATGGGTATATATTGTTTTATTTTCAGTTAGTTTGTGTAGAAGCTTAATGTCAGCAACCTTCAACTACAGTCCCAACAAGTTTTTATTTGATACTTCAATCTTTAGGAACCTTATTAGTAGCCTTTGGCTTTTGGTAAGCTCTGATATGATGTCTGCCTCCTATTTAGTATTTTGTTTCTTTGAGGGAAAGAAGGTATCTTTTAAGGGAGTCATAATGGAGAGAAGAGAGAGATAATCAAGAGGTAGAATAAGAAACATAAGATAGAAGGATAAGTTGTGATAAAGTGCATCAGGTCATATAGAGAGGGATTACATACCTTGAGAGGGACTTGTTTTTTACTTTATCCTCAATTATACTTGAACAAGAATACTGAGCCTAATAGTTTACCTTTGAGCCAGTTTACATCATTTAAAATACTAATTGAGTGCAATTCGCCTGGTATAAGTTGTCCACAATTTGGTGCATGCTCAGACTGGCATGGACAGCTTGTTTGGAGTTATAATTGATTTAGGGTCCCAACTAAGGATTCAAATCTTGGTTGTACAGGTGAGTTCAGACTCATATTTACCAGTTTGACCAAGGGCCTGTTTTGGACCATATATGTCAATACTGGTCAGTATTTATTTACTTATGTTTGGACCATATGTGTTGATAGTTACCGAAACTGGTTCTATACTGAAATTTTAATCCTTGGTCCCAACATCCCCCAAATATCAAGAAGCCCACACTCCATTGTCCGGTTGAACCTACAAAGTGGTTTAGCCAGGATAGCATCATTATTGTATTTACTGTTGTATCAGACTTTAATGGCCATACCTAAAGTATTAACCCTAAACATGCTCTGCAATGCTTTAGTAACCAGTCCTCTTTCAACCCCTCTTTCTCTGTTCAACACGTAAACGAAAATAAGAAAAGAAAAATCTACCCATGGTGTAAGCTTTTGATTCAGGGAATCACTATTATCTGTTGACTTGTGACAACACTGTCCTGCCATGGCTCTACTGGAGGGATGGTACAAGTTCATTGTTTGATCTGGTAGACATCTGGCGTTGTTCTTTGCTGTTGGCCCTAGTGATGCTGTTATGGAATCCTCAAATTTGTTGCCTCTGGCTTTGGAGACAAGTGATGACGACAATGAATAAGGACACTGTTAATTATTTTGTTTTGTTTTGATTTGTTTTAGGTTTTTCTACCTTGGTTGTTTCATGTCTTGTCTCTTGTGTGCTTCATCATTTTTTTTTTATTCTTCCAGTACATTGTTTTGGATGTACACTAAATTAATTCTTTTTAGCTTGTGCTTTTAATTCAGATGTTGTATGCTTGATTTTCTTGTTAATGCTTCCAAATAACTTTTTTTGTGCATATTTCTTTATCCTGTTCTCACATGTTGCTACATCCAAGATTCATCGTACCACGGTATACCGCTCGGTACGGGCAGTACATACTAATCTAATAAGAGGTCAGTATGGGTGATACATACCAGTTTATTGGTATATCCTACTGTACTATGTGTCGATATATCAATATGTACTATACCGGCGACTGGTCGATACATCGGTATCGACTAGTAAGGCGAACCATGGGTACATCAACCAACAACCTTTGGGAACCAAATGAAAAACTCTGTTTTAGTTGACTTTGGATTTTTGTCTAGTCTATTTTGATTGCGGCAGTGAAAATCCAATCATTTAGTTCTGTTCAGAAATCTGGAAAAAAAGCAGTACCTTTTTGAACCAAATATTCACCTAGCCTTGGACATCTATTGGAGTTTGGTTATTTTATTTCCATTAATAATTATATAGTTAGCTCTCTTTAGAGGCACTTCTGCCCCTTGAAGAAGGGAAGCTCCTCCTAGGAGACAATTTGCAACACCTTGTTTAAGGGGTGTATTCTAAAATAGGAATGAAATCTACATGTTTGATTTTTACCTTATCTGTCCAACTAGATATACCAGAACCAGTATAACCCTTAGCAAACCAGTTTTAATTTGAACAGTGTCGTGTCATTTTTTTCATAATTGCTCACTCATGCCAATAAAAAACGGTGCTGATTTTAGTCTTATTGAGTATTTCCTACTGAAGGCCACATACAAATTCCATTCATCTGTCGGTTTCCTGCATCCACTTTTTGCACTAGATTCTTCACTTGCATAGATATCCTTCTCTTCAAATGTATCCCTTGTTAACTTATGTCTTCTTATCATGTTCACATGAATGCTCATTACATATTACTGCTTTGCCTCTTATTTGATGCCGTCTACATAGAGTTGTATGTTTGTAGTGAATAAGCTACTTGGTCTGATTTATGACAAACTTAATAGCAAATGTACTATTCTCTGCAGCAATTAATCATCTTGCAATACTTAAACTATTGTGCTGTATGATTGAGTGACTATTTTCTAGATATTGTTGTGAAAGCCAATTTCAATTATTATTTGTAAGAATCATCTCATTAAGATGCAAAGTTTATGCAATCTGCCAAGTTCTATATATTTATTTTGGTGTCATTTGACATTCTATTAAAATGATCTACACCCAGATTTGTCACTCAAATGTCATGTTCTTTGCTTTTAACCTCTTGTAATTGCATTTACCAGTACGATTGGATTTTAGTCTTTTTTTTCATCTGTGTCATCAGTACACTATCCTTTGTTTAGCTAGTTTCTTGCTCCATGGATTGGTTCAGAAAAGTGCTAAATTTAAAGATTGCTTTTATCTCAGGTAGAAAGTGCTGAGTCATACCTGCATAAGATGATGGAAGCTGGCATCTTGATTAACATTGAGGTATATGCCTATTATCTTTTTTGCTTGATATCTTAATTAATTTTTTTTGGAAATAAGGGCTAAGTATAGTGCTATATGCATATTGTTTTTGAGTAATATGTCCTGGACATCCGTGCCCTGCAATTTTACTGTTCTGCCTGTTCTTCACCAAATGTATATATACTTATATAGTGGAGTAACTGGAGTCACATGCAATTATTTTCTTTGCAATCATTTGTGGCAACGATTTTCAAAGTGATGCATGCTTTTTTCTTCATCTACAGTATTGCTTGGTTTGCAACTTTTAGTTTTATACACATCTCATGCCATATTTAGAAGTTAACCATTCACAATTTGCTATGACAATCCCAGAATCTGCAGGTCAAAACAAAGATTAGTGGCAAATATTCCTTTATTGTATATCAAAATTGATGATAAAATGGTTGTTGTGTTTTATGATTTTTAATGGCAGGAGCGCAAGGAAAAGATTTTGTGTGATGTTGATTCATTGACTGCAAGCATTAATGGTTATGTTATTATGCAGTCTAGCTTAGTTGAGGAGGTATGATGGTCACTTTTATCAATTATAATGAATTTTTTATTTGATATTGAAAATTTTATAATGATTATAACTAGGTTGTAAATCTTGTGGAGGCTCCTGTTGCCATACTTGGTAGATTTGATGAATCCTTCTTGGATCTCCCAAAAGATATATTGATTATGGTATGCCATGACATTTTCTACAAGTACTGTGATGCAATCTCTCTTGTTTAATTGTTTTTATTATGATTTCCCACATGCAATAGGGATTTGTTTCTTATTTTCTGATATCTTTTCATATGTTTTTGATGATTAAAAGCTTAGTTCAGTTTTATATCAGTCCTCAATTAGACCTATATGGTGATGGTGCCAGCCCATTTTGTCTGTTGATATGGGGTGGTACTAGCTGAACTGGTTTCGGGCCTATCTAAACTGAGAAAAATATTATATATATATATATATATATATATATGCTCAATAATGAATCAAACTATGATTTTAAGATCTATTGTAAGCCATATATTAAGAAAACAGTTGTAAAAACTAAAATACTTGAAAAGTACTGAGTGGACACATGATAAATGTATCACAAGCATATCCTTGTAAATACATAGTTAAAAATTAAAAGTACTTGTTGTCTTTCTAATGGCTGCTACCACCAAATGGATCATCATGTTGCAAATGGTAGGTCAAAATCTTCAATGTGACTTGATAATATATCAAGATTTTAATTATGAGGAATGCATGAATTATGTTACTCCAGTGACATTTGAGGTAAAGTAGCAAGAGTCATGACGTTTTGGTCTTTAAATACAACTGGGATGGTAGTTAATCACTATGGATGTCAATTTAGGTTGCTGGGGCAAGGAAGGTTTGAGCACATAGGGTTAAGGAAATCGGGTTGCACCAGCTGTTGAGTGGTAGACCTGTGTGGATATAGGTCGGATCTATAGGGATCTAGCATGGATTCAGTCTGATCTGTGCGAACCTAGCCTAGATTCTAAACGGATTTCGGTTAAATCTGAACTTTTCTTTGCCATATCTGAATAAATCTTGGATGGATCTGAATAGCTCTTGTCCAGATTTGAAAAGTTTGCTCGGACTTTTGTAAATCTTGATCAGGTCCAAGTAGATCCAGCTTAGAGTCAAATAGATTTACACTAGATTTATGTGGGTTCAGCCACTTTTCAACAATTAACATTGACTCATAAATGTATAAAAAAGCCAAAATCTAATAATGAAATCTTGAGCTTAACCTGTAGAAAGCACCAAGAAGCTTTATTCAACAAAATCTAAGCAAAAATTTGAATTTTAGCTTTGGACTTACCTTGCTTTATCTAAGAACTAAGGTGATTTCTTGATATTGAAGCTTGATTCGCTTGAAACCAGAGACAGATTTCTGAAATGTGAATTGCTGAGGGTGAGAGAGATTGTGAGTCAATAGTGAAAGGAAGTACAGAAAGAAGAGGACTTGGATGAGGAAGATGGGATCATGGGGTGGGAGGGTTATCATAAGCTTACTGGTCTATGCTGATTGATATGGTCTGGTTTAAAATCCTTTTACATATTTCAATTTAATGATAACAAACATGTGATGCAACAACTCTAAGATAATATCAGATTTTAATGGAAATGCTTTAAAAAAATTTAGTAACCATTCTTTTCTCCATGGAGCGATGTGCTCTGAAAATCAAGAGAGTAGTAAACAGAATGTGATCTTATGGTGAGATGGTTTACCTCTTATCCAACGTTGCTTAATTTGCGTAAATGTCATACTCTACATGAGAATACTAGAGGATAGGAGAGATCATTGAGAGACATTGAGGGGAAAAACTGAGTTTGTTTTTGTAATAATACTTCAATAGTTTATGGGTTGAAGTATGTATCTAGAATAGCATGACTTGTGTCTCATCTGCATAGTTAGGTGTCAATAGAATTGAAAGATGCATGAACACCATCTGTATATAGTAGAATAGATCATTTCCTACTCTTGGTCAACCCTCCCAAAGGATGTTCAATGCATGATTGACCCTCCAATTGAGGCAGAGCCCAATGTGGACCAACACCCGTAACTACTAGATAATGTGTTCCACGATTGGACCCACACAACAATTATCTTCATGTGAGATGCATACTCTCCATATTGTAGGTATTATTGTACAATGTAAATACATTTTAATAATATCTGTAATTTAATATACTGTGAAGAAATTATATTTGAAATTTTGTGATAGCATGGTCCATGTTGTATTGGTAAGAAATTGTAGTATTTGTACTAAATGTGCTAGTAGCCTTTTAGAACTTATATCCCTAAAGATAATAAGTGTTAATAAATTAATTAATACCACTTTTATAAGATAACAGATAGATAAGTGATCATCAAATGATTAATCCTTTGCCATGCTAATAGCAAGAGCTTCAAATATGACATTTGGCTCTAATCAATTATTGACCTTGTGAAGGGCAAGCAACAGGTGAACATTAATGGCAATGTCATAACTATATTGATATATAAGTATCAAGCAGAAATGTACAACAGACCAACATTTAATCGTTATTGTAAATTCAAAATGTTATAATTTTTGACAAATTGATGCTGCCATATGAAGATTCCTAGTTATCAGAGTGTCGCATCTTCAAGAAATGATATGGAGAAAGAACACATCTTGGTTAAGTGCCTACTCTCCTCCTTTGAGGTGTGTATCAGATTATAATTTTTGCTTATCTGCAGCCTCTTTTTTAGTTCAACCCGACCAAAAAATAATAATAATCTTGATTTGGGGAAACTTACAAGCTTCACTGAGAAAAAAATATGCTGTAGCAAGAAAGAAGAGTTTGAAATCCAAACTTCATTGATAAAATTGAAGAAAATAAAAAAGGAGGATGAAAGGTAATGGTAGAAGAAAAAGGTGAAATTGTGTTAAAACCTGTGGAAAAAAGGTCATAGAGGTGTGGGAATAAGGCAATAATACCTGGTATAGCTTGTGCACTACTTTGAATACTTGACAGTATGTTGGCCTGGTTGGTACAATAAGCATATCGTGCGTCACCTAGTATGAGCCAGTATTGGGAAGAATTAGTGTCTGAGTACTAGTTTGTTATCGAGCTGGCAAATACTGGCCACTATGGATGGATCCAATCGAATGTTAAAAACTTGGTCAACATAAACTTTTGTCCTACTGAACAGCGTTACCGATTGCAATGGTGCTAAATTGCTAGACGCCTAGACCAATGTAGGATTTTTCCATTAGTTTAAAGTCCATAGAGGATCATGCTTCAGGAAGCGTTGGAGGCTCACATGTTTAATAGTGAATGTCTTCTTTGCTTTTAGTTGTGTAGATTGCCTGCCACTGTAATGCCGTTACCACATTTTCGATTCCTGGTTATTATTGTTAACTACCTTTGGTTAGCTAATAAAATCCTAGATGCTTATTTATACCTTTGTTGGTTATTGCATATGAATCATTACTGAAGTTATTACCTTGCATAGAGAAGGGCACATTTACACATATTTCTATGTTTGAGTTTATCCCTATTGTCTACCATGACTTCAAAAGAGATGATTTTTTTAAACTTTAATTTGTCTCTTGGCACTGTTAGATATGATTAAACATTATGTAGAATTGTGCACCCACCAAGAGATTGGAACATGATTCCTTGTGTGTCAAGTAAGTCTCATAGCTTTACATTTGCGAAAGTGAAATATTTAATATCGTTTCTCTAACAAAACTCTTCTCTCTCTCTCTTGATTTTTAACCCCGTGAAGTTACCTTTTTTAACTTTTTTTAAACTTTAGTTTGTCTCTTGGCACTGTTAGATATGATTAAACATTATGTAGAATTGTGCACCCACCAAGAGATGTTCCTTGTGTGTGAAGTAAGTCTCACAGCTTTACATTTGGTAGCCAACTTGAGAATGAATGCACAGAGATTTTGAACACAAAACTTAAGAGTTTCAAAGATGGCAGGCCATCTTCGTCCCAATTTTCTTAATCTACCTCTTCAATATAGTCCTCATAAGTCAAGAACTTCTACAACAATTTATAGTTCAAGGTATTATATTGCTACAACAATAATGAATGTGATTTGTACATCAAGAACTTATACAACTCTTCAAGAAATCTTTTAGCAAGAATATGATTTTTCTTAATTTGAAACAATTATAATCATATGATTTAATTTGATGATTTGGATTTTATCATGCAGGTTATGCAGAAGCATCAGAAGTATTTTCCTTTGATCAACAAGCATACTGGAAATTTGATGCCATTTTTTATCGCTGTTAGACCTCTTATAGATCCTTAATCGTATATTGCAGTGTAACCCATTTATGTCTTTCCCTTTTCTATTTTCTGTATCATACTCTAATTTGTGGTTCTTGTAGGTTGCAAATGGAATAATCAATGAACGAGTAGTTCAGAAAGGCAATGAAGCTGTACTACGGTTAGATTCAGTCCCTTGCGATATTGTTGTGAAATATTAATTAAACTAATTTATACTTGTATCAATTTCGAGAAAACCATGGGAACTGTTTGATATAAGGGCAAGGTAATGAACATTAATCTTTCCTAGATCTTGCATTGGCAGGAACCTCTGGAGCTGTGCTTTTAACTGATTTTGGAGAAGAAAAAAACATGTTTAATTTTGCATCAACATAGACAATCACAAAAGCAAATGTTATATAATGTGATTTGGTATATAACACAGCTCATTTTTGGTTCATTTTTTGTAATGTTATGATTATGTACTGGAGTTTTCTTTCAGCCTAATTCTGGATTTGTTTTTTAAGTTTTAGTTAATTGTTTGTTTAAATCTAATGTGATGTTTTCCATCTGTTGTTTGTCCAAACTGGAAATGATATATTTTCTATCATAACTCAAATTAAAGTCCTGAGAATCTACTGCTAACTTGAGTATCTATATAATAAAAACGCACATATGCAATGCTTTTGGTCTTGTATGTGATATCGTTTGAAGAAATAATTGAAAATTTTGCTGATTACCGCTTCTCTTATTCTTGCCTCTTTTTTAAATCCTGGTGGTCTCTTATTTCTTTTAGCTAGTTATAGTTACTGATCTTAGCATCATATCACTTGTACAGGTTGTCTTCTTATTTGTCTCTGTAACTTCTAAGTTAAATTTGTGTCAAACTCAAATCTGAATTGTTATTTGAGTGCTTGCTGGTTGCTTGTCTTGATCTCCAAATCTTTAGTTTTAGATTAACAAATAAAATCTTTCTTTTTCTATGAGAACTTGACAATTCTGGAAGCAGAGTTAAAGTTGTTGTAAGCCATAATATCTTTTTGCAAAATCAGTTAACCTTCCTTGTATCAAGGCTTTCCTGTTTGGTTCTGTACTAATATAAGCTTTACCTGTGATTCAATAGTGATGCTGCTCAGTCCATATTTGTGCTTTTCTGATCTGTACATGAGCTTTATTAACCTTTCTATTAAATTTCAACCTTTTGTTCTACCAAAAAATACACTTTTTGGTTTTATCAGAGCTCGTTACGAAGATGCTAAATTTTTCTATAAAATGGACACGCGGAAGAAATTTTCTGAATTTCGAGGCCTTCTAAGTGGAATTCTTTTTCATGTAAGTGATCGATTTCTTATAATAATAATATCATTTTAAGGTTTGCTTTTCAATTTGGTGACATTGAAGTTATCTAGGAAAAGCTTGGAACAATGCTAGACAAGGTGTCACGCATCCAAAGAACTGTTGGGAAGTTAACTCTTGCTCTTGGCTTTGACGAGAGGGTGCTTATGATTGTCGAAGATGCTGCAGCCCTTGCCATGTCTGATCTTGCATCTTCTATCGTGACAGAATTCACTTCACTATCTGGAATAATGGCACGCCATTATGCTCTAAGGGATGGGTATCCTGATCAGGTACACAGACAAGCATCTAGCACATGCATCTTTTTTTTCCTTATCCCCTATTATTAGTGTTGTTGTTGCAGTAAGAGTAGCAACATGCTTATTGATGACCTAAAACTCTTTATAGAGATGATAGATCACTAGCTGATACACACTAGTCCTATTTTGTAGGGTGAGACTAATTGATAATGAATCATGAAACAGAAGAGAATGGACTTCATTTGTTGAGCCACTATACATTTGCGAGAATTCATTTTGTTTGTTCTGGTTGCTCAAACCACCACACTGCCCACCATCTTGGCTAAAGCCGACAATCTACCCTCTCCCTGTGCTTCTTAGCCACTATCAATAGATGGAAAATACTACTTGTTGGACCAATACATACTGCCCGTACCGGGCGGTATACCATGGCACGGCAAACCTTGGTGTGTTGTATTATGCATCTTGTGTTGATTCCTATTTCAGACATCATCACAAAACAACTCCTCTGGATCATGGAATTATAGAAAGGAGAACTTGAATTCTTTGGCCACAAGGGATCCTTACCTTGAAAATAATATTCTACAAACACCAACTCTAATGATGGTAATCAATGACCTCTAACCAAGGTCTTAAGTTTCGATCCATTGGTCAGTGGTCAAACCAATGTGCATCCAATATATATCGATATACCAACACATGATCAGCCGTCATACCAGTCTTCATAGACCAAAAAGAATAAGTGAAAGAAGAGAGGAGAATGAGACATAGGAGGGTGAAGGAGGAAGAGCATAGGATAGGGAAGTGAAGATGGAGGAGGCAATGGAAGAGAAGCAGAGGAGGAGGAGGAGGCATAGCAGAGGGGAAGTGGCAAGCGGTGAGTGAATGGTGGTGAAACAGCGTTATAGCAGGGTAGCAATGGCAAGGCAGCGGAGCAGTAATGGTGAGGCGACAAAGCGATAAGAGAAAGAAGTGGAGGGGAAAGTGACGAGAGAAAGGGAGAGATAAGCAAGGGAGGAAAAACAAAAGGGAAAAACATTTGGCATTAAAAAATATAAACAATAAAATATAGCATTCAACTGCCCGATCCTCCCTGTTTTATTTATTAAATTCAGGCAACAAGCCTGGTTTGGTAGGGCTGTGGGCAGTAACATCCCATTTTCTGGTCGTACTGGTAAGTTCCAGTTAGTATGGATAATCCTTGCCTCCAAAATCATCAAAGAGTTATAACATGATTTAAGAGGCTTGAAGATGAATCCAAGTATATGAAAGAAGGATTAGCATATTTAGAGTTAGAATGGGTGTTTCTCCTTTACCCCTTTTATGTTGCTTTTGGCTTGGAAAAAATTAATAAGATATTAAGATAGTTGTTAGAATAGTCATGCTTTACTGATATAAGAATTGGATGATTAAGTAAGATGCACAAAAATGTTGTTGAGATGAGAATGTTGAAGTAGATGTGTTACTAGAAAAGATAATTTTTTTTTTCTTTTATGAACAATTAGGTGGAGATATGATAGATGATAGAACAAAGAACTGTCTAAGATAGTATGAAGCAAGGTTTTCAATTTTGCGTACTGGTAACGGACTGATCAGGACTTGGACCCATACCATATCAGTTCATACAGGTACAGTGTTGATATGTCAGTACGCACCAAGTCTTAGAGAAACCCCAAAAAAGGTTTAGAAAACTGAAAAAAGAAATAGCTTCCACCCTGTACTGAACATACCAGGCAGTACTAACCTTATATCGAGTGCACCAGGCAGTACAAACCCTGTACCAGCTGTTTTATCTTAATCCACGACATGAGATTACGAGGAGGCTGACCGTTTGTGGATGGATAACCATATGGCTCAAGCGAAACCAGCTAAGTGCTTGACACAGCAGTCGTTATCAAATCAGTATTCCTTCCTTCACCTCCACCACCACTACTGCTGCCTCCTCCTCCCCTCCTCTTACTTCTCTACCTCCTTCCCTTCTCCTTCTCCTCTTTTGCGCCACATACTCTTCTCTCCTCCTCTTCCTCCCCTCCACCCCTTTCTTTATACCATGGTCCAACATACAATCTCAGTACTTCCTAATATACTAGACCTATAATGATCTGACCATAGACCGGCATGGGTCCAATGCCTGAAATATAGAATCATGGTGTTACACCAATCATTCAAAATATTTTAAAAGGGTCAGGATGAATGCCACATCATATGTTTTAAGTTCAAAATTGTTCACTAGTTTTTTAACTGAATAAATAAAAACGAAAAATATGACTGCATTTTTTTCATTTTTGAACAGCTTCAGTAATTAGAGAGGCTGAAAATGTTTATTTTAGTAACTGATAATATAACTCAAGTATAATTTTTGTTTTCTTGCTTATTAATAATAGCATGGATAAGCTTTACAAGCAATTTCATATTACCATGACTTCTACTTACTGACTTTCATTTCCAAAGATTGCTGAAGCCCTTTTCGAAATCACACTTCCAAGATTCTCTGGAGACATACTTCCAAAATCTGATGCTGGAATTGTTTTGGCCATTGCTGATCGGTAGGTTATCCTCAGTCACTGTTCAACTGTTCATCATATGATTGTTATTAGTCATATTGTGTATATCAAGTTAGTTGCAGAACTTTGATCTTCAAAAGTGAAATAAAAATCAAGCTGCTAATTTGTCATTTGATGTGCTTGATCCCACCTAAATGATTTTTCCTTAAATTATCTACCTTTTATATTTCCATATATTAATTTTAGTTTTTTGCCTGAGTTTTACTGCCTCATCTCTCCTTCTCTAAGATTAATATTTGTATGCTGCATGACCCACTTTATCCTCTCTAATCTTCTGATGTTTGGAAAATTAGTTTATGTTTAAACTTTAAAACACCAATGTGTTTAATTTGTATTGCTTCTCTGTACTAGTTATAGATATACTATGAATTTAAATAAAAAGAAAAACAAAGTTTTGCCATCTATGAGAGACAATTATGCACCTATATACAGCAATATATACTTTCCATTGTACATCAGACCGTGTCCAGTACAATAGCAAATGAACTTCATACTCAGATGAATTCTTTCTCATTTTAGTTACTTCTTAACTATTTAGGGATACTAGTACTTAAGCATTACTGACAATTGAAATGGTAATTTATGCTTGTGTGGCTATTTGATGAAAAATTGGAATTACATTATAGGGATAAAATGTAGCGTTTCAGATTTGGTACTCCTATTTCATATTACTCTGAGAGTTTAGAGGGCATATTATTCCTGGCTCATCTGTTTAGTGTGTCATTTTGGTTAAATATTGCCTTTGACACCGGAGAAATATTGTCTCAATTTATTCATTTTTCAGATAACACATGTTTTCATAGCAATGGACTTGCCAGCAGATAATTCCTAGAAGCAGCAGTTGTGGGCTTTGTGATGGTTATGGAGATGAAGAATCACTAAGAATTTAAAGTTCAACCTACATACTGAAACCATTTTTCAACAGCAAAAGACATTTTAAATTTAAGAGAACATTTTTGCAAGGATTACTGTAACATAGTTTGCAGAGGGATGGTATTTACTGGTTCAACAGGTTCCCCGGACATGCATCAGGGTAAACTAAGCGGTACAGGGTTGGTATCATATAGGTACGATACTGCTCGGTATGGGGAGGTATAGGCTCTGTGCTGAGCAGTTTCTTTTGTTCAGTCTTTTTTTAGATTTTTTTTTTTGAAACTCAATATGTACTGGTATACAAACACTTGGTGCATCAGTATGCTACCGGTCCGAGTCTTGACTGGTACAATATGGAATTGTGAACTTAATGCAACAGTCTAAAGTATTTCAAGAACATTCTGAAATGAACCTGTGGGTGATGTTAAACTCCAAAAGTTGGAGTTAGAAACAGTGGTGCTAAAAGAAATTGTTGCATAAGCTAGCTCTTGAGGTAGAGACCCAAAGAAAACATTAATTCTTGTAATTAAAGTAATGCACATTTTACTCTTTCATATTATGTACCCTATGTGTTCCATGTTTGTTGCTTGGCTGGTTTAAAAGGAAGGTAAGTTACTTTTGTTTTGCTACCAATGGAGGCAAGTGATATGCCTAATAGCAAGAGTCTTAGTAACTAGTAAGAGGTAGGATAATATTCAGTACAATTTGGAGGGAGTAACAGATTTTAAAATCAGAATTGACAGATATCATGGTCTTGTGAGAATACTGAATAGAAGAGCATGAGTTGGAATTAAGGTTTAAAATACTGCCAGTATCAATTGGTATGAAATGGTACTTGCTAATCTGCCAGACCATCAGGATGCAAATTGGGTGATATTGTTCATTTAGGATAGATATCGGTTGTACCATCCAATAACCTCATCATATTGGGTTTACCTATGCAGTAAACAAACTAGTACCAAATTGCATTGAGCAGTACATTTACTATCCATAACCAGTACCTTTTTTTAAATTTTTTTGAAGTAGTTGTCTCGTTTGTACTTTTCTTCTTTTTTATTCTCTCTCTCTCACACTCCCTTTTTATATTTCCTTTCTCTGGTGCGCTCTCTCCCCTCGTCCTTTGCCTCCATGCTACTTCGTTGTTGCCACCTCCTTCGCCTCATCACTGCCTTCTTGTCCTCCTTGCTTGTCTCTTACCAGTACACCTCTGCATCCCCCTCTTCTTCTTCGTCCACCACCTTCCCCCTTCTTCTTTTCCTTCTCCTCCCTCTCCGCTGTTCTTCCTCCTCCACCTCCTCCTTTTCGTTCTCTTTTCCTTGTCCTCCCGCTTCCTTCCCTCTTTCTCTATGGTCTAGATGTGTCAGTATCGTATCAATCTGTTCACCAATAGATATCGGCACCAAACTGAGATTTCGAACCTTGGTTGGAATGTTGCCTACAATTTGGTAATTTGCAAAAAGATTTCATTTTTGTTTACATGGGTGTGATAATAACATGTTGGCATGCTACAATTGTTGGCCAATATTTATCGGCATTAACCCTTTTCCTGACAAGAGTTGTGTTTGCACACCATTAGCATATGACATGATGCAAATCCATGTGCTAGAATCATTCTGGCACTATACCTATTTGCCATAATAGACCAGCATGGCCAGCACATACACACATTAATATGCTCCTACAAGGTGGACAAGAAACACATATTACTATCTGTGTATTAAGTGTTAACCACTTCAAATTGCATGAGACCACCAATGTAAATTTCTTCCAAGAAAGACTGCATTATTTGATGGATGACTTTACCAACATGGTGCCTTCATAGTTGTTAAGTGTGCATGAGAAATGAACTCGTTTCTGTGAGTTCAGTTCAGTTTGTTGTATGGTTCTTTTGGGTTGAGTTTTATGGATCACCTGCATGTAGAATTCAGTAGTAACTCAAAATTGAATTACAATCATATCCACTCATATTAACTTTTGTCATTATTGACCTGGATTTAGGTTGTTTTTCTTGTAATTATTGTTTGTTCAAGAACCATGGTTTTGTCTATCTAGTGGTGGTACTAGCTATTTGTTATGTTTGCTTCAGACTGGACAGTCTTGTGGGTTTATTTGGTGCTGGATGCCAACCAAGTTCCACGAGTGATCCCTTTGGTTTGAGAAGAATATCTTATGGGCTAGTAAGTCATGTATTTATATGTTATTTTAATAGACAAGATATCATCTGTTTATTTTTCATTTTCAGGTGCAGATACTAGTGGAGAATAACAAGAACTTGTACTTAGAAGATGCTTTGAGATTGGTAGCAGATATCCAACCGATAGAAATAGACGGCAGTGTCATTACTGATGTAAGTCAGTGTTATTCTTGATTGTTACTTCTTGTCAAAGCATGTATCGTTTTCTTGCAACATTATTTATTGCCTTGTTCTTCAGGTACTAAAATTCGTCACAAGGAGATTGGAACAACTTCTTGTAAGTATCATTTCCACATGACATAATTTTGTCATTGAGTTGCATTCTTTATATACTGAACTTTACTTTATAGATAGTTATGCTTGGATCAATGTTCTTTAGTAATAACCTCTCATGCCATAGAGATGTATGATCTTTGATTCTGTATTAGTTTATTTTGCTACTTTTCTATGTTTGATGTGGCATGGTAGGATAGTTGTTTGGGATAGAAACCAAGTGTTCAGTAAGGTTTGCTGTACCGCCCAAGTTGGTATGGTATGGATGGCACATATTGATCCGATGGGCGACTAAGATGTGGATTGCCTAAGTTCCTTTGCCCCAACGTATCATTTGTTGGTACACTGGTATGGAGCGGTATGTACCGTACCAGCTGATCGACACAAGAAGTCGAACCTTGGTGTTCGGCACAACAATCTGTCTTTATTTTGCTGGATTTATCAACAACTTTAATGTGAAATTTTATCCCTCTCAATGGAACAAGTTGGCAATTTGCTACCATTTCTCAAATAAATAAGTAATAATAATAACCTTTTCTCCTCCTCCGCCTTCTGTGTCATTGTTGCTGCTGCCTCCTCGTACCGGCACAGGTCCCTGCCATGGCCACCTCCTCCTCAACCTGAAAATCATAGTGATCAAGTAATATCAGCAAAGTGCATAATTGTGATATCAGAACAGTCATTGTGCTTCTTAGTCCTCGAATAATGTTGGCATATTTTCCAACCAAAACAATTCAAGAGTCAACAGCAAACAGAAAGAGGAGAGAGTGCTTCATTCTTTCTTAAGCCTCCCCTATGTCAGGTGTCATTATCCATTATCACAGATGACAGATTTAAGTAAGACAGCCTAACAAATGTACACAACTCTCATTGAAACATCTACATTCTGTTTTTCAAAGTGACATGAAATGGTGATCACCAACATATTTTTGAAAATGAAAACAGAATAAAAAATGTTTGATACTGCCTAAGCAATTTTCTGTGTGTTTATATGATGGGAAGCAAATATGTTTTACTCTCAACATACATGTGTATGGACATTCAATCTGCAAAATGCATGGTTTTCTTTGGAAATTTATGAGATTAATTGTCTCTTGCCAGGTGGATAAGGGTATAAGTCCAGAAATAGTCCGTTCAGTGCTTTCAGAGCGTGCAAATTGGCCTTGTCTGGCTGCACAGTCAGCCATTGAAGTAAGCGATATTTAGTCACTGTTCTTTTTTAGAATATTGTTTTCTCTACTATGCAATTGCTGTCATCATGAATTGTGTCACCTTTTCCTTTTTTATTGGTGGCGGGAATGGAGTGGTGTAATACCACACATAAAATTTTGCATGTCCAAGGAATTACTTGGAAAGGTTATTTTGCAATTTAAACTCAATAATGGAATCTGATTTGCAGCTGTCTAAAATTGTGATTCTAGATAATTTGTTGTCTGACAAATTATTTTTGGTTTATTTGTAGAAAAATATTGGCGTGGCATAGGAGTTTTATTTAATTTAACAATGTGCTAAGAGTTCCTGTAATTAGTTCAGGTAGGTCTCCATGTGTTAAGCACCATAGGCACTATATATGAACAGAATGTTGGTATCCTGTATGCTTCTCTTTCGTTGTTGAATGTCCAATTCCTTGTGAATTGCAAGGAATGACCCTTGATATTAATTTCAATCTTTAAACTACTTTTGTATCTCTTCTTAGTTACTTCTCTTCCTCTTAATTTCAATAACTCGTCTATCTTTCTGTTCTTCACTGGAATAAGCTTGCAGCATTTAGGCATCACATTTTGAGGATGATAGATAATTTATTGAAGGAAATGACAATTTTATGCTCTTCGGAAGAAAGAGGAGGCAGAGATAGCTCTAAAACTCTCTGGGTTGAACATCTCCGAAAACAGCATTATTCCATCTTCTAATAGATGATTACTTGAAGTGTTTATCTGTCACATAGTGGAACTTTTGCTGTCAATCCATGTGTCAGTCTCTTATGATGCTGCCAATTGGCATGATTTGGACAACTAGATGCAAAACCAATCGATGCTATTTTTATTTGCAAGATAAATTATTTACACAATTTTTTTTGGTCCAAACAAGTGGAGGTCACATCTGTTCAGATCAATGCAACTTGCATAAGTTGGACTTTGGGATTTTCTTTTTTTTTTTTGTATTTTAAAGGCAGTACATGGTAATGAGAGATAAGCTGATAGCTATCTGGTATTCCAAAATGAGAGCAGATTTTATGCAAGTGCATGCCGTTCTGGAGACATGTACAATATCAAGTCACAGAATTTGAGATAAAACACTGAGATCACAACAGAATGAATAAATCGAGGGATTACAACGTAAAATTATTTGAAATTCTACATATGTATTCTGCTCAAGGGATCTGAACAATCGCTTAAAGTCATGACTTCGATAAAACACAGAACAGGGTTTAGACTTTAGAGTGTTGTTTTTCATTTTGTCAGAAAAAGAAATTCTTAACACAATTAAGTATGCATACAGAATTGACATTTTTTGTGTTGCAAAAGTTGAGATAGTACACATTGCTCTTTGCTGTAAATATTTGGTCAAGTATACGGGAAACATATATATCCTTGTACTCAATACATGACTTTGCTCATGCATAGATGGCAAAATTATTTGCTTCCATAGAATTAGCACCATTACAGAACTCTGTCGGTATTTCATGTTTTAGAGCTTGTATTCCTTGCATTGCTCTGATCATCCCCGTAGGCTTCTGATATATATAGTGGAACTATTCTTAAGGCATATTCTTTCGAGTTTGAACAGCCAATTATCTTTAAGTACTTTCAAAATATCATTTAACGACTTCAACTTAAGATTTTAATTTATTTGGTTTTAGGTAAATAATTGCCAGTTTATCTTTGTTGACGTCAAATGCAGATGGAGGCCTTGTCTAAAGGTGATATATTTTCAAAAGTGGTTCAAGCATACTCAAGGCCGACAAGAATTATTCGTGGAAAGAATGTTGATTCTAGTTTTGAGGTAATTAGATAAATATTTCTATACAAAGTCTCCTTTGTCTTGCTCCTGATCTAATTAGATATTAATATTATCTTCATTTAAATTCCAAAACCTTCTCTTGTTTCATTCTATATTTAAATATCCTTATATTATCTGGCAAGGTTTGCCTTACTGGTCCATATTGGTGTATTGACCGGTTGTCGGTAAGATACATACCGAGCTGTACCGAGTCGTACTGAGTATATTGACACATGGTGCATGGGGGCGTACCAATATACCGCCTATATCGGTCTCTTATCAGATCAGTACATACTGCCCGTATCGAGCAGTATGCCATGGTACGATGAACCTTATTATCTAGTACTAGTAAATTTTTCTTCTATCTTTTCTCTCTTTCATTTTTTTCCAAAAGATGTCTAATACCATCAATCTATGTTGATTCATCAAACTTTCATTAAATATGACTTTATAATCCGTCCACATAAATCACTATCTTTTTGGCAAGGTGATATGATTGTTCTTATATGTAATCAAAAGTCATCTCTCTAAATATTTAAACATGTATGGCTCTCACATCTGATCAGTTATACTAGCATCTAGATTTTTTTTCTTCTACTAAAAGATCATAGTCTTAACCGAAGTTTAAAATCTTGGTCTGATGCTAATATCAATCAGTGGCAGGTACGAATCAATGTACCAACATCCGGCAAAGGTCATTCCTTCCAAACTAGAGAGGAAGAGGGGAGGAGGAGAAGAGGAGGGAGTAGGAACAGGATTAGAGGAGGGGGGGCCAAAAAGGAGATACTGGTAGGAGACAGCGATCTGGATGTGAAGTAGGTGGCAACAATGCAATGGAAAGGAAGAAAAGGTGAGATATATATATATATATATATATACTAAGAAGTAAAGAACTACTGGGCAATTAGTAGTACCACCCGGTATAGTTTAGTATTGGTTTGCTTACTGCCCCATGAGCTTGATACAATGAGCTTACTAAGCGATCTAGCCTACACCACACCAAATCACCCTGTATAGTTTGATGTCATATCCCTTGTGCGGTGAGCTCAAGACCATGAGCCTATCGAGAGGTTGGTTGTAGGGGGCTGTAAATACCAGCCAGTATTAGAAGGTAAGTGCATTATTTTAAAACTTGGTCTTAACAATTCATCGTGCAGGTCCAAATCAATGGCATCTATGACTTAATAAGACTCATTAACCCCTTTACTGGTTGATTAGATATCCGGGGCTAATGCAGTGGAGCAATCAAATGACCAGATAGGCCTGTGGCCTTCACCTGTCAGTTTAAAATAACGTGCTCATGCACCAACAGTTTCAGGATTGATTAGAACTCTGAGGTCCTTAAGCTTAATAGCCCGAGCCCAAAGGCCTCAAGCCAATGCCAGTCCAAGCTTGTGCTTTAAATTCTGAAAGGGTACAACATGTCCTGCTTAAAACTTCAGCTATTTGCAGGGCATTAAGAGGCTTTAATTGGGTCTGACTGAGATTGTTATAAAAATAATTAGTTTCTATATGCTTGTTCTCTTTACATGATATAGTCTACATCCTATATTCCATTTACCATATTTCATCTTCGGTTCTTTTATTTTTATTTTGCTCTCACATACTTCTATCAACTTATTGTGCAATTAAGCTTATTTCACCTAGCAATAGTGCCACTACTTTGTATATATTGGTATTTTTTAATTGGAGCTCTTCTTAATTGATCATTATTTTATATTTGTTTTATAAATTTCTGAAGTGCAACGTAGCGCTGCTGCTTATATGGAGAAGTTTTCAGTTTTCTATTAAAAGCAAATGCCACTGGTGTCAAAAGTAGAAGTTTAAAAAGTAGAACTAACAATCAAAGGTTTTGGCAATTAGTTTTTGTTGTGTTTGTTATGCTGCCAACTGAAGCACAGCCACCTGACCTCAACTTGTTGAATAGGTAAGCGAGGCTGCATTCGAAAGGAATGAAGAACTAGCTTTGTGGAGTGCCTACTTGGAAGTTACATCTAAGGTTCACCATGGTAATTTCAATTCTTTAAAATTTTGAATATTGTAGTACCTGGCTACCTGCATTGCACTTGCTTTTGTTAATGTTATGCTGGTTTTGTTTGCCATTTGCTTGTCTTCTAGGTATCAGCATGGATAGTTTTTTTCAAGCTTCTTTGCTATTGCTACAACCACTTGAAGATTTCTTTGACAATGTCTTTGTGATGGTGGTAAGTGTTCTGTTATCCTTGGCACTAACTTTGTCAGCATTTCTGATGCATGAATTACATATGTCATTTAAATACGATGAGATGGCAATTATGTTTTCCAGTATGTTCAACAATTGTCATGAAATTATGATCTATTGTATGTATTTTGTTTAATCCTTAATCGGTTATTATCATTTACATCGTTTGCATAGTACTTTAGATTTGATTCTGTAGTGTGAGCCAACGGCAGTGATTTCATGGCAAAAGATGTGCAAATACCTTTCTAAGATGGTATCTGTGATGAGGCATGCCCTTGTGCATAATGGTATAGGCCAAAATTTAAGCCATATGTTGGCACATCTGTTTCAAGTCAACATGGCACATTCTGATACCTTTCTGGCATATATGTTTCAACCTGTTTAAGCATGTACTTGGCACGACAATCCTTGGTGTCAGCCTCGTCAGGACTTATCATCTTGTCAAATGTGTGATTTATTTGATGAATTTTCTTCTACTTGGATATTGCAGGCATGCATCTTGTCAAACTTGTATTTATCAACTTTCAATCAATTGCATGTGGGTATAGAATAAATTAGAAGATTATATTATAGCAAATATCCACCATGATTTCAATCATCCATACTCGCTGAAAAGCTTTTATATTTTTTCTAGTTTGTAATTAAATTTTAATTGGTTATAGCTATGCATAAAATAAAAAACTTGACAAATATAAAAAGAAAACATTTATTACAAAGTTAATCTTGGTATATTAATTCTTTATTACTTGCATTTCATTTCCATTCTCAATATTTGTTTTATTAAGTATCATTATCATTCCTCCCTCAAAATGGTGTCCATTTCATTTGTCCATAACTAGGATCACGTACCCATCCTTGTTTTTGGTCCTGCATATTTCTATTCATCAAAATTTTCAATATTCTTTATAACTGATATTTAGCTCATCTTAAGCTTGAACTTATAGTGACTTGTAGTGCGAGTGGACAATGGCAGATAGCCAAGTCATTATTTAATAGTACGTCGCCATGTTGGAGTTCCCCATCATGAGTCAACCTTCTCCATTCCATCATGTAACCAGACAGGAAATAATTAAGTCTCTCAGCTAGGGTAAACCTACCTTTTTCGATATATGGAGATGCAATGCTCTACATCTCTTGGTGGTCTTCAACATCACAAACCACCCATGAAGGTTTAAATTAATCATTTCTTGTTGGATGTAGTACTTAGATTGAGAATCTGAACAACCCTATTGAACCAACATGATCTGGTCTGCAGAGCTTTTACTTGCATCTCAAAAGTTTAATACTAGGTCAAGAAATAGACGAATAATTTCATATCACCATATTAGTTCAACTAAACTAAAAGCTTAATCCACTCTTTCTTTTTTTCCTTTGTTTTCCATGTCCTTCCCTGATAATCCAAGTAGGTATCAAGGTGTCTTTACCAGAATATGCTTGCTGAACACTTATTTTCAGTTTCCTTTTTTAGCAGCGCATGTGGTCTATTTCGTTCTTTATTTTCTTTAATTTTGTTGCTGTTTATGCATGCATAGGAGGATGAAACAATCAAGAACAACAGGCTTGCAATTCTCAAGAAAATCGCAGATCTACCAAAAGGAATAGCAGATCTCTCAGTTTTGCCTGGGTTTTAGATTGCCCCACTCCCTTGATTCTCCTCACTTCGTGAGATGTACAGAACCAGAGAAATGTTCAATATTTGTCGCCTGGTGATGTCGAGCAACTACTGAGAAATTTTTCCACGTAAAGGCTTTGTGATTTCTTGGCTCTGTAATTGTATAAACAAGTATAAATTGAGTTACGCCAATGTAAAAATTGCCAAATGTAAATTATCTACAATCAAAGTTCAATTCAAATTATTTATTTGGTCTCGACTCCAAACCTCTGAAAGGAAAAACAGATACTGTAGTTATTGTGCTGCATTCTCTTGCAGTTGGCATATTGGGATTACGAACCCGATTTCATCCAATTTTATGCGTCTGCACCATACCCTTGCGTTTAATTTTGTGTCAGATCATAACCCATGATGAAATAGAATAAAATAAACAAAGAGTAGCTTCTCGTTTGTAAGAAACTTGGGCAAATTGGTGGATTTAGTGAATCATGTAAACGAAGAAAATTACCGGGATATTTTCTAGTCAAAGAATCAAGGAAAAAATTAATATTATTAGTTTTATCAAAGACTCCTTCACTACTTAATTCTTTGAAAACTAAAATCAAGGGAAGGGGAATGAAAGCATTATCCAATGAATATAGGGGTTTTGGACACAAAAAAAGAAATCTTATATATATCACACAAATCGCCATCATAATAATGAATAATGAATTATATATATATATATATATATATATATATAGGTGCCTTTTTGTCACGTGATAGACAGACTATTTTACCCCTGCCTCACCGCCGGATCGAGCACAGCCTTCGCTCGCACGTCACCCGTAATTTTTGAGCAGGGCTCTCCGTCGGTCCACTGGACCCATCGGAGGCATAGCCTCCACGGCCATCGCCGTCGCTCGCAACCCCCCTCGCCGTCAACTGCGGGCGATGAAGGAGGGGGGACGGCCCACCCTCGCCCCCAACCTCCGTCGTTGGTTGCGGAGGGGCTGTGCAACCTCCTCGCATCCCCTGCTTGCCGTCGACCGCTGGCGACGAAGTCGCGGGCGTGCCCTTGCCGTCGCCAACGGCTGCTGGCGAGGACGGAGGTGTGGCGGCCCGCCCTCGCCCGCAACCTCTGTCGCTGGTCGCGGAGACTGCTCCTCCATCGCTGGTTCAGTGGGGATCTGACAGGAGCCCGTCAGATCCTGGTCGCGGAGGCTGCGCCTCCTCTCTCTCTCTCTCTCTCTCTCGCCCGTCAGGACCTCTGTAGGTTTACCTATTTAATTTTCCCTTTTTTGAATGTTTCAAAAAGAAAATTCCCCTTTTTGAGATTTTCTTGCTCATCAGTTAGCAAGAAAGAAATTATATTTAATCTATTAAAGACAAAAACAAATGAATGAACTAATACATTTCCTTTTTATATTTATTTATCTTTCTTTTCTTGAGTTATTCTACAAGGAATATGGGAATCCACTGATGAAGTCGGAAATGACTATAGTTTATTCTTGCCACATTTTCTCTGGTAATCTAGCTTTGACTCGTCAATAGATTCATGTAAAACATCTGTCCTTCAGGTCAAAGTTTATAGCCATTGTCAGATCAGTGTGATCGCACGTTTTAGAGAGCCGTGAATGAATGAGTATTCAATGTGACCTTTATTGTTGTCTATCTTGAATTGTGCCACGAACTCGAGATATACACTTGACTTTCTATTCCATATCACATCATCAGATTCATGTGTCCTCCTCCAGCCAGAATGATTCAGAGTTCTTCCATGGCAATGCAAAATTGAGTTAACTTGGGAATGCTTTTGGCTTTAAAATATCAGACTAAAAATTTTAATTTTATATTCTTCGGTCAATTCAATGAAAAAAATCATTTTTTTTCTCGATTGAAGAAAGAAATCTTTCTGCACGAGTGACAAACTATTGCTTAAAAAGGATAAAATGCTCATCATATATGACCGACGGTGGTCGCCAGTTCCGAACCGAGGATCAATAACCCACTGCTCGTCTCTAAACCGGACCGATTCTTCTGAACCGTTAGTTCCGAACCGGCAGAAGAAACCGAGACCGCCACTCCCTTCCTTCTCTTGTTAGTCCCCACCAATGGCGTCTCCGTCGCCGCCCTCTTCGCTGCAGCGTCCTGCGAGCTGACGAGGAGGGGGAAGTTTAGCAGCGCGCGTGAGCCACGGATGCGGAACGCCGCGCGGTCGTAGGCCATCGCCGCCGCCTCCGCGGTCTCGAAGGTCCCCAGCCACAACCTCGCCCCATTCCTCCCCGGGTCCCTGATCTCCGCCGCGTACTTCCCCCACGGCCGCTGCCTTACCCCCCTGTAGTTCCTCCCCCTTTCGCGCGCTGTGCGTTGCGGCGGCATCTGCTGCTGCGGCGGCGCAACTTTGGTCACGGCATTGGGCGGCTCATTGCTACTACCGCCATCGGCACCCGACGTTGTCGTGGTGGTGGTGAGCTCTTCTTCGAGGAGATAGCGGCGGATGATCTCGAGGTAAGCCAGGTCGGGGTGCATTTCCATTCTCTGGGCCGGTGGGAGCAATAGAACGGGAGGAGGAGAGTGAGAGATCGATGGATGTGCTCGCGTAAGTACATGGGAGGGTGGGGGATGGGGTGGGAAGGAGATATAAGAGGAAGGAGAGGTAAGTAAGGTTCATGCATCTCTCATTCGTTCTCACGTTCGTCGATGCTTCCTTGGTAGCGACGGTTGCACGTGCATAATTTGCATGAGCGAAAGATCTATTGAACTATTTGTGTAACGACATTTCGTTTGACGGAAGCTTTTTCTCGTGGCTGCGATTCGTCTTCAATCAGTCAACGGTCCAACATTGTTTCCTCGGAATGGGTTGGGCTCAAGTTAAGATGGATAGCGTGCTTCATCTGAGTCCAACCCACTGAGTTAACCGGTAAATACTTGATCGCGAGTCTGAGTTCAATCGAGTTGTATAAATTAATTGGGTTAGGCCGGAGAAAGTGAACGTGGATTAGGGTCGCATGGCATGAACTAGGCACGTTTTTTTCTCCCTGGATCCCATATAGGATTTGACACAGTCAAGTCTTCTAATCATGACGATGATCAGTTGAAAATTTTGAAGCATGAACAAAATAGTGCAAGTACTGCGGATTTCATTTTGCTTAAAAGGTTGTCATGACAATCACTATATTTCTTTTAATTAGACTTCTTTAATATTTTAATTTTTAAATTTAAAAATTTATATTAAAATCTCTATAATTATAAAAATGAACACTTAATTTTACTTATCCTAACGTTATTGACTTTATTAATGGAACATACAGCACTGCATGAATGACATAAAAATAATAGGTAAAATGATAATTTTAATAATGGTAGCATATGGTGACATCGTGGGTGGCCGTTGTGGTGATGGTCGATAACAATGATGCGGTGGTCAATATTGTCGATGCCGATCTGAACATCAACAATGAGAAGACAAAGGCAAAGCGATGAGGCATCTGTGTCAAAGTCGAAGGAGGAAGAGGAGGGAGGTGAGCTATCTGCGTCGGCACTACACCACTCTACCTCCTCTTTCTCCTCCGATGCCACTCTCCATCTACGTCGAAGCCAAAGGAGAAAGAGAAGGTAAGTGAGACATCTACATCAGCAATGTGTTCAAATCCTCGAACGATTGCTTCGTCGAGTGGCATTGTAGATTCAATCATTCAAAAAAGGGGTGGTGGGCAACGAGAATGAGAGAGAGGTTGCGAGCAAGCTTGGCGAAAAGGCACACTTACTTTAAGCTCTTAAGCTTTAGCTAACGTGTGAACAATACATACACCCTAGTCACAACAGCATGGTGGCAACCTACTTTCGGATCAACTTCGCCCACGATCATAGGGTATTCGATTGGACGACGAGAATTGATCATCGCATAAAATGGAGGCCCAAAGAGTACAAATTCGATAGTGGGAGAGACACCAAACCCTCATCCTCCTTCCCGCTCACCTTCAGCGTCGTGGTGGTGGGGAGAGTATCAAAAAGATGGTGGCAACAGATACAACAAGCGAGACAATAAAGAAACTATAAATCATCGCATTGTGGTTAGCCTTCCAAATGGGAATTATCATTTTGCCTAGGATTTCGAGATCAATTGGTTGTATCCTCTTTGCTTCACCGACTTCATCTTCCTCTTCCCTTCTTATCATTGGTGATGTAGATTCCTCAGATACCTCCTCTTTCTCCTCCGGCCCCAATGCAGATGCAGACTTACGCTAGAAGAGGAAGAGGAGGTAGAGTGGTGCGATGCCGACGTAGATGCCTCACCTTTCTCCTTTTCCTCCTCTGATGTCGACGTAGATGTCTCACCGCTCTGCTTGCTCTTCATCCTCTTCATCGATGTTCAACTTGACATCGATAAGACTGACCACTACATCGTCACCGACCACCATCACAACAACCACCCACAATGTCATCGTCCGCCACCATCATTGAAACTATATTTTGATCCATTATTTTTATATCATTCATCTATTAGTTAAGTCGATGATATTATGATAAATGAAATTAAATATTTCATTTTTATAACTATATGATATTAATCTATAATAAGCCCGAATGACATTGATAAGTTGAAACTCTTCACATGGCACGATGTAGGTTTGTTAAAAGCTAAGGATAGACCGATATGCAGCATCTAATTCTCTTTCTTTTTTTCAGGCAATTTTTTCCCGTATTCTATTTTTTTATTTCTCTTTTTAAGTTTGCAGGATTAATAATTCCCGTTTGCACGTGTCTTATTAAAGATGAGGAAGAAGTAATTTCCAAACATATTTAGAAAAACTCTATTTGAGTTAAGGAAAGAAATCTAAGCGACTTGGTTGATTGGGCTGGTGGCATACTTGTCCGACATAAAATGATGTTTGTGGCGGCGGGCGGACCTCGAAATAAAACGTACTAATCCGCTTTTTCATGGTACCCTACAGAATAGCATTGGTGAGACACTACAATCTTTTCATATCCATTGAGTGGACGGTGCGTGAACAACCAAGACACTTCACATTTGTGTCTGTTATCATGAAACCTCACGTTTCATATGAAAATTGTGAGATCCTACAATTGACGCAGCACATTTATTGGCGAACAAATGAAATCATCATAATATTACATTCCACTGCATTTACATTTTCGTGACCAACTACAACTGATACATTCAGTGATGTGCGTAAATCAAAATTCGCAAGCAGAAACGAACAAATGTTTCACCAAATCCACTATTCTAATCATCAATATCTTGCGTCGTTATAACAGAAAG